CAGCAGAACAGTAGCAGTCAGGGTAGCCGGGGGAGCAGTATACCGGCTACCCACAGCTCGGGTACATTTACATTGGGGAGCGGGGTTTTGGAATGTGGAGGTGGGGTTGATGCCCCAGCTGCCAGCGGAGGTTTTGTTGGGGAACGATTTGGGCAAACTGACGTCTGCATTTGAACCCCAGGCCCCAACAACCGGAGAGGCACACCCAGTGGTTACACGACAACAGGCCCGCACCCAGGACTACAACACACTCCCGGAGGTCCAGGTAAGAGATCCTTCCCCTACCTTAGAATGTACCCCTTGGGCTCCCCCTTCTGAATTTGCGGCTGAGGTAGCCACCGACCCCATCTTACAGGTCTATAGAGACAAAGTCACCTCAGACCAGCCGGGAGGGGAGGGCGAAAGATTTGTATGGGATAACCAGTTGCTATACAGGGAGTTTGACAAGCAGGTAGCTGGGTCAGACCCCATTGTAATGAGGCAGTTAGTGGTACCCCCGCGGTATCGCGCAGAGTTACTCCGGATAGCGCATGATATTCCGCTATCCGGACATTTAGGAGTCAGTCACACCCGGCACCGACTGACCCAGAGTTTCTTTTGGCCGGGGGTTAGTCAGGAAGTCCGCAGGTACTGCAACACGTGTGACACATGCCAAAGGGAACGAGAGGGGACCGGCGGAAGGCAAAATTGCACTCGCTACCCATAATCGAGGAACCCTTCAGCAGAGTAGCAGTGGATGTAATAGGACCCCTGAAAACACCCAGCCCCTCTGGAAAAAGGTTTATTTTGACTGTAGTGGATTATGCCACCCGATATCCAGAGGCAATTGGCCTGACTAACATACACGCAGAAACCGCGGCTGAGGCCCTGATGCGGATTTTCACTTGGATGGGGTTACCCAGAGAGATAATCTCGGATCAGGGTACCCAGTTCACTGCGGAAATCACCCAGAGCCTCTGGAAATTTTGTGACATTAAATCGATTATTAGCGCCCCATACCACCCCCAGACCAATGGGCTATGCGAAAGGTTCAATGGGACCTTGAAGCAAATGCTGCGCACTTTTGCCGACACCCATAGGGACTGGGAATGGTTTCTGCCGCATCTCCTGTTTGCCTACCGGGAGGTGCCACAGGAATCGACAGGATTCTCCCCATTTGAGTTACTATTTGGGTGGAGAGTAAGGGGATCCCTGGATCTTATCCGGGAACACTGGGAGGGAGACCGGAGTACCGACGGTACCTCTGTCATACCATATGTACTGGCGTTTCGAGAGCGTTTGGAAGCGTTGACCAAGTCAGTCCGAGAGAACCTCCAGGCGGCTCAAATGCGCCAACGCACTTGGTATGATAGGGGCGCCAGGGACCGTAGCTTCCAGGTTGGGCAGAAAGTTCTAGTTTTCAAACCAGTCCAACATGACAAGCTGCAGGCCTCCTGGCAGGGCCCATATAAAGTGATTGAGCAGAGATGCAACACCACGTATATAATTGGCGCCTGTACAGGGACTGGGGGGCGACGCATGATCCACGTGAACATGCTGAAGCCCTACCAGGAACGTTCAGAGGAGGTAACCGCGATTTGCGCCCCCTCCAATGAAGAGTTCGACAGCCTGCCTCTCCCAGATCTCCTGGGGGATGGCAGACTGTCCGGGGATTTGGGGGAAGTTACTCTGGGGGATCGGCTGAGTCCACAGGAGCGTACCGAGGTACAACAGTTATTAAGGGAGAAACAGGACACATTCTCCAATATACCTGGGTACACTCCTTTGGCCACTCACCGGGTAGAGACCCCAGGGCAGCTTCCCATGCGCCAAACCCCGTATCGCATCCCTGAAGCGGTGAAAGAAAGCATGCGTAAAGAGATTGAGGAGATGCTCCACTTAGGGGTGATTGAACCGTCAGATAGCCCCTGGGCCTCCCCTGTAGTCCTCGTACCCAAGCGAGATGGCACAACCCGCTTCTGCGTGGATTACAGGAGGTTAAACGAAAAGACGGTATCCGATGCATACTCTATGCCCCGGATAGAGGAATTACTGGACAGGATGGCTAGAGGTCACTACCTCACGACCATTGATCTATGTAAGGGGTATTGGCAAATTCCCCGGCGCCCGAGGCCATTCCTAAATCCGCTTTTGTCACCCCATTCGGTTTATACCAATTTAAGGTAATGCCGTTTGGGATGAAAAACGCACCCGCTACCTTCCAGAGGATGGTAGACCGACTCCTAGATGGATTTCAGGATTACACTTGTGCTTATTTAGATGACAGAGCCATCTTTAGCAACACTTGGGAGGAACATTTGGCCCATATAGGGGGCGGTGTTAGATAGGATCCGAGAAGCCGGATTAACCCTGAAGCCAGCCAAATGCAGTATAGGGATGGAAGAGGTACAGTACCTCGGACACAGAGTGGGGTGTGGGAAGCAGAAATCCGAACCTGCTAAGATAGAGGCAGTAGCCCAATGGCCCACCCCCAGGACAAAAACCCAGGTCCTTGCTTTTCTAGGAACTGCCAGATACTACCGCAAATTTGTCCCCAACTATAGTGCCCTGGCCAAACCCCTTACTGACCTTACCCGTAAAAATTTACCCCGCCAAGTAACCTGGACCCCGGAGTGTGAGAAGGCGTTCAACCTGTTGAAAGATGCACTTGTTAATGCCCCTGTCTTGGCAGCTCCCGATCCAACTAAACGTTTTCTTGTTCACACAGACGCTTCTATGTTTGGATTGGGAGCAGTTTTAAGCCAAGTCGGGGCCGATGGCGGAGAACATCCCGTAGCTTACATCAGTCGGAAACTACTACCCAGAGAAGTGAGCTACGCCGCCATCGAAAAGGAGTGCCTGGCTGTGGTGTGGGCCTTGAAGAAATTGCAGCCATATTTGTACGGACAGCCCATTTCCTTGCTCACGGATCACAACCCGTTGGTCTGGCTAAACCGGGTGGCTGGGGACAATGCCAGGCTGCTGTGCTGGAGTTTGGCGCTGCAGCCTTTTGACTTTAACATCCAGTACCGCCCGGGCAAACAGAATGGGAACGCTGACAGGTTGTCAAGACAAACCGACCTAGAGAAATGATCCGTGAGCCTCCCTGGACATCCCCAAGCCGATCCGTGTTGGTTCAGACTGTGTATGCCGGCTTGTGGGCAAGGGGGAGCAGTGTAGTGGATGGCACTGGGCTGTCCTGAGAATTACATGTGTTTGAATGCATTCATGTAAAACAGCAAAGTTATATGTGTTAACTGTATTGTATTCGTCTGAATGTTAGGTAGTTTCATTCCCTTAGTTTGTTCGAATGAAACTACCGAACAGTCAGACCTCCCCTGTGTGAAGTGTGCCTTCAATTACCCGTTGCAACATTGTTGCGAATGGGTAATTGACAAGCTGAGTAGCCGTCATACGGGAAACGAACACGTGGCGGCGGCCATTTTAAAACTCCCGAACAGCGGTGTTTTGCCGTCGAGTGTCTGGAACTCAAATCGGGCACTCGACTAGGCAAACACCGCTGAGACCTCCACAAGCCCGAAGATAAGATAGAAACAACCGAACGAGGCGAACCCTCCCTGGTCTCTGTAGCTAGAGGCTTTCGTGCAGTTTATTCCCTTACTCCAGGACCGACCGCAGGGCCCCATCGCATGGAACCCCATTCGGCTGTTCACTCCAGTGCGGTCGGTCATTTTATTCCCTCCATAAATTTCCCGAACCCCTGGTCTGATCTGGGTGATTTTTGGATATGTTGTTCACCCAGATCAGGGCTACCAGGGGATGTATAATTTAAAGTGGTACCCCTAAGTTTAGGGGTACATCCAGAAACAGGGGGGAATTGGTGTGCTGGATAAGGGGATTATGTTGCAGGCTGAGGGGAGGAGATGTGTGGGAGGTTACCAGAGCAGGATTGGCTACTGTACAAATTAATGGAAATCCCTCCCTTGCATGGGAGCAGGCTTTATAAGGCCACTGTGTGAATAAATCTTTAGTTCTGCTCCTGATACTGTGTGTCGTCCAGTTATTGGGATTGCTGTTGGGATACTGCTGTGTTATTTTGCCTGCTGGATACTTTACCCTATGGATTTATTTTGCTTGTTCCTGCACCTCCCTGGGATCTAAAGTGGAGATAGGCTGTGTAATACCAGCTCTCCGCTACACATGCCTCCAAGGTCCAACAATGCTTCTATGAGGATCATGGATGGGTGGCACGGCGTTGCAGAAGGTTCTCTAACGTGACTGAGTGCTGTATTCAAGATAAGCTTTATTTTAAATGTTTTTATTTTAAATGTTTTTACAGTCTTTAAAATGTTTAAAGGCACACTATAGTCACCAAAACATATTTAGCTTAAAGCAGTTTTTGTGTATAGATCATGCCCCTGCAGTCTCACTGCTCAATTCAATTTAATCACTTTGTTTATGCAGCCCTAGGCACACCTACCTGCATGTGACTTACACAGCCTTCCTAACCACCTCCTGCAAAGTGAGATCTAATGTTTACACTTTCTTTGTTGCATATTCTGTTTAATTTAGAATTTTCTCTGTTAATAGCTTCCTAGACCCTACAGGAGCCTCCTGTAGGCATTGATTCAATGCATCAGTATGAGAAGATGCTGGTCTGCCTGCTTGACAGTCTCAGGTAATCTTATGGGGAAGCATTGTAATTTGCTCAGACCACCACTTCTGATAAGGTCAGCCGAGCAGGCAGATCATGGGCAGAGGCAGCGGCTGCAGACTTGAATACAAGTAAGATTTTACTATCTACGGGGGGCTTGATGGAGGTTTTAGCATGGAAGAGTGTGGGCAGAGCTTGACCCAGCGCCAAGGGACATCGGAGCTGGATTAAGGTGAGTGACTAAAGGGGTTTTAACCCCTTCGGCAACATGGCATGGGGGGCGCGAGGGGGGAGGGTTACTGTAGGATTCTACAGTGCCAGGTAAACGGGTTTGTTTTCCTGGCATTGTAGAGCCCCCTTAAGCTAAAGTTGTTTTGGTGACTATAGTGAAATGGAAATCCAGATTGCAAAATCTAATCTAAACTAGCCGAGCTATAATCAGATGGGTTATTTACTAAATGTATACAGAATGATAATCTAAATGGCAAAAACAGCCATATTTTCATTTTAGCTGTGTTGAAAAAAATGTTCTGATCAGCTTTTTCAGCCTGAATCTTATCAGCGTTTAGTAAATAACCATATATCTGTCTTAAAGATTTCCATTACACTTGTAAAAGCAATATTGCTACAGAAAACTTAAACAGAGTAGTTGCCTGGGGTATAATGAATATGATGTGCCTTTTTTAAACAATGGGTCTTCACTAAATTTTTGGCTCTCAGCCTAGGGGTTAAATGACCACTCTAGAAACATAATTTAAAGTAGCTCTGTCACCCCCAACTTCCCCAAATGCATATTTCATAAAGATAGAGTCTTTATGAAATACATAGATTGATTGTGTTAGAATTTCACTGAAATTCCAACCCAGTCAAAAGATATACTGAAGTAGGGACTTCTCAGTATTTTTCCTAAGCTTAACAAAAGTAGGGACTTCTCAGTATTTTTTCTAAGCTTAACAAAAGGAGGAGCCTCTCTGTGTGTCTCATTCCCCCCCCAGCCTAGCCCCACTGTGTGTCTCATTCCTTACACTCCAGCCCCTCCATTTTCTCACTCCCCTCCAGATCCTCAATGTGTCTCACTCCCTGCATCTCAGCCCCTCCATGTGTCTGATTCCCCCCCATCCTAGCCCCTCCATGTGTCTGATTCCCCCCCATCCCAGCCCCTCCATGTGTCTCAATCCCCCACCAGCCTCTTCATGAGTTTCATTCCACCCCAGCTCCTCCATGTGTCTCATTCCTCCTGCCCCAGCCCCTTCATGTTTTTCATTCCAGCCCAGCTCCACCATGTGTTTCATTTAGCCCTCAGCCCCTACATGTGTCTCATTTACCCTCCTAGCACCTCCTTACCTGCTTGTAGTGTGGCTGAGCCCAGACCTCGGGACAAGAGCTTCTGTTTCCCTCTCACCAGTCTGACAGAAGGTGCTCACAGAGAGCACCGAACTGCTTCCTGTCAGACCAGGGAGAGGTAACAGAAGCTCCTTTCCCCCGGTCCGGGCATGGCCATGCTACATACAATAACTGGCAGGAGGGGAGCGCTTCCCCTCCTGCCGGTCACCCAGCGATCACGCCTCCATGACAGTGTACCGGTTCTAAAGGTAAGCTGGCCCACCGGGACATTATCTGGTATCCTGGTGGGCCAGTCTGGCTTGCCAGCCTTCAGCAGTGATGGATGTATGGAGAAAAAAAGCTCTTTTGGTGGATCCGGCGTTATATTTTCGTGTGAGTTTACTGCTCTGACATCGGCTCCTGGCAGCTGAAGCCCCATATGGTGGCAGAGCCATTCTGTCACGTTCATATAAAAAGGACAACTGTCATTAAATTTTCACTTCTAATTTTTAAAAACTTTATTGCATTTAAACTTAAAGTGGCATAGTCACTGTCTGGTGACTTTGCAAACACCCCTGACTGTGACATAGCCGCTGGGGGTGCAGTGGGTGGGGGGGTGGCGGCAGGGAAAGTTGAGTTCTACTTACTTGAACCTGTCCATCGCACTGGTTGCCATCTTCCTCTGGCAGGTCCTCTTCGCCGACGTCTGTGCTGTACTTTCTGCTCCATAGACAGAGCCAAGTCCTTGCTTTGTTTTATGTTTTTAGTTAGAAATAGATTAGAAAAGAAAAAAGAAAAACCGTGTAGGATAGAGGAAGTGATTGGGAAAGGGGTGTGACCGTCACTTTAATTTTTCTTTTTTTTTAACTATGTATATTGATTTTAATTTTTTTTGTAAGAAAATCTATCAAAGCATTTGTAAAAAAGATTGCTGCAAAAATGTATTAAAGGATCACTATAGTATCAGGAAAACAAACTCGTTTTCCTGACACTATATAATCCATAGGGTACCCCCCGCCCTCAGAGCTCCCCTCCCGCTGGGCTGAAGTGGTCTGGGTCACTATAGTGGTCCTTTAAATAAACAGAACATTTTATTTGTTAATCAGGTAAAATTGATGTAACACTGGTACTTACATCTCTTACAAATGATTTAAAATCTATTAAATAGCTTTTCATATGATTTAATATTTTTGAATAAACTTTTAAAATGATTTAATATTTTTACTGATATTTTTTTTTAACTTTAATATTTAGAAAAAAAATAATTTTCAAAGTTTATCCAAAATCACTCTAAAAAATGTATCCTATTTATTAAAATTGGGGCTTACAGGGAAAGTTGTTTTCCTGGCACTATATCTTCCCCCTATGTTAGTAACCCCTTCTGTCACTTACCTGGGTCCAGCACCGATGTCCCTTGTCGCTAGCTAGGCTCCACCAACGCTCCTCCTCCACCGACATCAGTTGGCGGGGGATACCTAATGCGCATGTGCGGAAATGGTCGCACTCGGCTTAGGATTTCCCCATAGGAAAGCATTATTCAATGCATTCCTATGAGGATTCCGGTGACGCTGGAAGTCCTAATGCATAGCGTGAGGACGTCCAGCGTCATTTAGGCGACCAAAAGTCGCCTTCGAGCCCGGAAGTCCCTCTAGTTGCTGTCTGGTAGACAGCCACTAGAGGAGGCGTTAACCCAAGCAGGTAATTAATGCGGTTTATAAAAACTGCAATAATTACATGCTCAGGGTTAAGGGTGATGGAACATTGCACCCAGACCACTTCAATGAGCTGAAGTGGTCTGGGTGCCTACAGTGTCCCTTTTAAATTCGGACTCATTCACAGTTTGTTCTCAGTAATTTAGATTTGGTACAAAAGTTAGTGATGGGTTAACAAAAGTTAGTGATGGGTTAATGAATCATATTCTTACTGTTGTGTCACTGATCAGTAGAGTTGGTGCCTGGACAGTTTTTAGCTATTTAACTAATAAATAAAAACAGACAAATGAGAAGTAGAGAGGTTGAAATGAACACACACAAATGAGCATAATCTGTCAATTCCTTTATTTCAAAAGCATGTGTATACATAATAATGTCTCACTGGCATAATTGTTACTTATTATTTTGTACAAGTAGACAGCCAATATTATGCAACATTATTACAAGGAATAAAGGCACCATACATTCCAGCCACAAAAAAAGGTTCTTCGGTCACAGTGATTAGTAAGTATTCCTTCCCCAAGAAATTAATATGTAATAATATACTGTTCACATACAAAGAGGACAATATTAATATCATCTATGAGACAATTTGAGTTTTTCAGACTGAAACCTCAAATTTCAATCCAGACTAGCGAGCCACTTCATGATGTCACACATTGACACCAGTAAGCCATTTCCAGTCACTAAAAGATTAGGAAAGATGAAAAAATAGCAAAGTTTGAGGACACGTGTCTTCATACTGCTGATTCCCTGTAAAGTGAGATTAAAGGTATAAAGTTAAAAGATAAAAGCGTGAAGTAGTTTGCTGCAAGTTTTGTTTAAAAGGGAACTTTTTCTGGAAATTTCATATTGAATAAAATTTTGAAAATCAACTATAATATATGTTGAACTGTTTTATACAGTGCTCTGTTTTGCTTTAATTTTATATTAAAGATTTAGCAACTGACATCACAATTCACTTCTAATTGCATTAGAGGAGAAAAAAAAACCCAGAAGCATTGTTCCAGTTTCCCTACCTCCACATAGTATGTTCAATGACATAAAATGGCAGCGCTTAGAATTATGATTGACAGAGAGCCAAGATGGAGGCATCAAGTAACAGAATACAGTTAAATACAGAAGTAACGATTTCTAAATTAATATTTTTTTCTCAGAACGCACAAACACATATTAGTTAAAGGGACACTATAGTCACCAGAACAACTACAGCTTAATGTAGTTGTTCTGGTGAGTATAATAGCTCCCTTCAGGCATTTGCATGTAAACACTGCATTTTCAAAGAAAAGGCAGTGTTTACATTGCCCCTAGGGACACCTCCAAGTGGCCACTCCTTAGATGGCCACTAGAGGGGCTTCCTGGCTCAGGGCTGCACAGTAAGCAACCCTGCCATTCAGCGTCCCCACGTTTTGCATGAAGACGCTGAACTTTCCTCATAGAGATGCACTGATTGGCCAAATCTGCATTTGGCCCCACCCCTGTGCCAATTTTAGCCAATCCAATGCTTTCCCTATTCCACAAAGGGGACGGAGTTAGCACCGGTGGACTCGCGCGGCGCTGGAAATAATAGGGTCAGGAATACATGTTTGTGTTCCTGACCCTAAAGTGATCCTTTAAATATAAAGAGGGGAAATAAGTAAACAATAATAATAAAAATCACGTGAAGTGACAGTTTTCCTTTAAAAGGAGAGTGCAAACATTAAATTAAATGTTACATAGTTAATAGCTGAAAAGAGACTTGTGTCCATCAAGTTCAGCCTTCCTCACATATGTTTTTGCTGTTGATCCAAAAGAAGGGGAAAAAATCCAGTCTGAAGCACTTCTAATTTTGCAACAAACTAGGGGGAAAAAATCCCTTTTGACCCCAAAATGGCAGTCCGATATCTCCTTGGATCAAGCAGCTATTACACCACTAAATAGAAATGATATCCCTGTATGTTGTGTTTTTGGAAGTATTTATCCAATTGCAGTTTAAACATATGTACGGACTCTGATAAAACCACCTCTTCAGGCAGAGAATTCCATATCCTTATAGTTCTTACTGTAAAAAAAACACCTTTTCTTTGTCCTATGTATAGCCCTGTTTATGAATAGATTTCCAGATAATGGTTTGTACTGGCCCACAATATATTTGTATAATGTTATCATATCCCCTCTGATAGGAGTGTAAATCTTGTAAACAAACATATAATATAGTTAACTGCCCAAAGAAAAGAAAGTCTGTGCTGTGGAAATAAACAAGGATAATCTAAAGTAGAATTGGCCAATCTCAGTTGTTAAAACTTTATTACGTTCAAGCAAAATAAGATGGCTGAACACTAACGGTGAGTTGCCAAGTGCATTTTAAAATATGCTTTTTGTAATTCTATTATTAACACAAAAAATCTATTCAGTTAATTAACAGTAATTATATGGGATTTGAAAGGGCCCAATTTGATTGAATATACAATATTATTTTATAAAGTCCAGCACTTGAGACTGTAAGCCTGATAAGTAATTGTGGAGCACAGCCTAGATGAGAGATCCTTATCAAAACATGGCATGTAAAATATTTAATAAAAATCTATATATTTACAGGTGATTTACGTAGTGCAATATATAGATTATATTTTGTAATTTACCTGAGTGGATCTTGTCTCACAAACATTTACAAAGCACAGATACACTTTAAGTGTTTTTTCAGAGATTAGTGCAAATTCATCAGAACAAGAATAGTTTCTGTTATGACATTTGGACAGGAAAGCAGCTGGATACATAATACATCCAGATAGTATTGCTATTTAATTGTAAATGTCCTATTTTAATAAATTAATACCTATTCCTTTCTCAGACAAAGTTACAGAAATCAATTAAAGCAACACTATAGGTCCAGGAACACAAACATGTATTCCTGACCCTGTAGTGTTAAAACAACAATCTAGCCCCCTCCAGCCCTCCCTGCTTCCCTAAATGTAGAAAAATCCTACTTGTATTCAAATTTGCAACTGCTAACCTGGACCTGCCTGCTGTCATCATCAGAAGTGGTAGCCTGAGCCAATCACAATGCTTCCCCATAGGATTGGCTGAGACTATCAAGGAGGCAGATCAGGGGCAGAGCCAGCACAAGACAAACACAGCCCTGGCCAATCAGCATCTCCTCATAGAGATGAATTGAATCAATGCATCTCTATGAGGAAAGTTCAGTGTCTCAATGCAGAGGGTGGAGACACTGAATGGCAGCACTGCCCCAGGAAGCACCTCTAGTCGCCATTTGAGCAGTGGCCAGTGGAGGTATCCCTCGGCTGTAATGTAAACACTGTATTTTCTCTGCAAAAAGCCTGACTGAAATGATTCTACTCACCAGAACAAATACAATAAGCTGTAGCTGTTCTGTTGACTATAGTGTCCCTTTAAAGTCAACAGTTAAGTACCATAAGACTTTTTTTTTAATTATTTGTACTGTATTTGTCATTCTAGAAAGTCCTAGAACCTTATTCAGTTGCTAAAATAGATTGAATTTAAAAATATGTTTTTTAATAACATTAATATTTAATCTTTATTGCAGCTAGAGTTCGTCTGTAAACTATTTTGACTATTTTAGTTATGGTGAACGAATGGGTTATTAGCTGGAATTAGAAATAACTTGAAACCAGACCTGTCACATACAGATTTTGATAAACAATCTGTTGGCTATAAAAAAGAATGATTTTGTTTACAAAAGTAATGCTTAAAGGACCACTATAGTGCCAGGAAAACACACTCGTTTTCCTGGCACTATAGTGCCCTCAGGGTCCCCCTCCCGCCAGGCTCTGGGGGGAGGAAGGGGTTAAACTTACCTCTTTCTCCAGCGCCGGGCGGGGAGCTCTCCTCCTCCTCGGCTGAATGTGCATACGCTGGCGTCTTCTCACTGTGAAAATCACAGTGAGAAGCACAGGAAGCCCTCTAGCGGCTGTCAATGAGACAGCCACTAGAGGCTGGATTAACACTATTATAAACATAGCAGTTTCTCTATGTTTATAGAAAAAAGGGTTAAACCTAGCTGGACCAGGCACCCAGACCACCTCATTAAGCTGAAGTGGTCTGGGTGCCTACAGGGAGTGCAGAATTATTAGGCAAATGAGTATTTTGACCACATCATCCTCTTTATGCATGTTGTCTTACTCCAAGCTGTATAGGCTCGAAAGCCTACTACCAATTAAGCATATTAGGTGATGTGCATCTCTGTAATGAGAAGGGGTGTGGTCTAATGACATCAACACCCTATATCAGGTGTGCATAATTATTAGGCAACTTCCTTTCCTTTGGCAAAATGGGTCAAAAGAAGGACTTGACAGGCTCAGAAAAGTCAAAAATAGTGAGATATCTTGCAGAGGGATGCAGCACTCTTAAAATTGCAAAGCTTCTGAAGCGTGATCATCGAACAATCAAGCGTTTCATTCAAAATAGTCAACAGGGTCGCAAGAAGCGTGTGGAAAAACCAAGGCGCAAAATAACTGCCCATGAACTGAGAAAAGTCAAGCGTGCAGCTGCCACGATGCCACTTGCCACCAGTTTGGCCATATTTCAGAGCTGCAACATCACTGGAGTGCCCAAAAGCACAAGGTGTGCAATACTCAGAGACATGGCCAAGGTAAGAAAGGCTGAAAGACGACCACCACTGAACAAGACACACAAGCTGAAACATCAAGACTGGGCCAAGAAATATCTCAAGACTGATTTTTCTAAGGTTTTATGGACTGATGAAATGAGAGTGAGTCTTGATGGGCCAGATGGATGGGCCCGTGGCTGGATTGGTAAAGGGCAGAGAGCTCCAGTCCGACTCAGACGCCAGCAAGGTGGAGGTGGAGTACTGGTTTGGGCTGGTATCATCAAAGATGAGCTTGTGGGGCCTTTTCGGGTTGAGGATGGAGTCAAGCTCAACTCCCAGTCCTACTGCCAGTTCCTGGAAGACACCTTCTTCAAGCAGTGGTACAGGAAGAAGTCTGCATCCTTCAAGAAAAACATGATTTTCATGCAGGACAATGCTCCATCACACGCGTCCAAGTACTCCACAGCGTGGCTGGCAAGAAAGGGTATAAAAGAAGAAAATCTAATGACATGGCCTCCTTGTTCACCTGATCTGAACCCCATTGAGAACCTGTGGTCCATCATCAAATGTGAGATTTACAAGGAGGGAAAACAGTACACCTCTCTGAACAGTGTCTGGGAGGCTGTGGTTGCTGCTGCACGCAATGTTGATGGTGAACAGATCAAAACACTGACAGAATCCATGGATGGCAGGCTTTTGAGTGTCCTTGCAAAGAAAGGTGGCTATATTGGTCACTGATTTGTTTTTGTTTTGTTTTTGAATGTCAGAAATGTATATTTGTGAATGTTGAGATGTTATATTGGTTTCACTGGTAATAATAAATAATTGAAATGGGTATATATTTGTTTTTTGTTAAGTTGCCTAATAATTATGCACAGTAATAGTCACCTGCACACACAGATATCCCCCTAACATAGCTATAACTAAAAACAAACTAAAAACTACTTCCAAAAATATTCAGCTTTGATATTAATGAGTTTTTTGGGTTCATTGAGAACATGGTTGTTGTTCAATAATAAAATTAATCCTCAAAAATACAACTTGCCTAATAATTCTGCACTCCCTGTATAGTGGTCTTTTAAAGAGGCACTCTATGTATCAACACATGTAAAGAGCAATGTGTAATTATGCTTGGTGTTTCTTTTTTAAAAATAATTTGTTTTGTCCCATAAATCTACTTTTTATTCTTTTCCTCTTCACTTCACTTCAGAAATACTGCTATGTACGATTCCATGACTTCTGCTTTTGGCCTTCTACGGTAGAGAGCCAACAATGACTACAATTTAAAGAAACATGTGCTGTGTATATATAGCACTGCTTATATAACAACTTAGCAAAGCAGGAATCATGACTAGCTACTTCCTGGTTTGGTGAGAAGAAGGCTGCAATGTGGGACGGGTGTTGCAGTAAATGCAGGGACATCAGTTGTGAGTATCCTTTTTATTACTTTACATTTATTGTTTTTGCATATTTTTAATACATGATCTATATAATACTTTAAAAGTGTCAGTTCCAGCTTGGAGAGTCCCTTGAAGAGAAATTATGATATTTCTTTTGCTAAGACACCCCCAAGGTGACATGTCCGTTAGCAAGTTATCTCTCTCTCTCTCTACAGAGAGACACCTCACCATGGGAGAAAGATGGTGGAAAACTCACAGATAGTCTTGTGCAACATTGCCGCTGACATCTATAACACATCATGGGAAGATGGCTGCTCCCATCTGCTTGCTGTCTTGACTGAAATCTGTTGGAATATGCCAAGCAAAAGCTCTTAAAGCCCTGTTATTTTATATATAGTGCAGCACAAGTCTAATAAAAATTATATATATATATATATATATATATATATATATATAATGTATTATTATTTTATAAAGCCCGCGGTAGTGGTTATGGTACCTGGACTGCCCAGACACCCTCCCATGGTAAGTTGTGAAACTGTGTGATAGTGGTAAGAAAACTTACTTAGAGTCTTTAGCTCATTGGTTGGGAGTACAGGGCTTAGCAGGACCTTCAGACTCCACAGACTGCTACAACCATAACCTGGCAGACAACAGGTAAGTTGTGAAACCATAACAAAAGGTTTGACTACTTATCCTAGGAAGGTTGTAGTAGATATGGTGCTTGGAGTGTCACTTTAAAAATTCAAAGATACAAATGTATTTATCAAACTATCAAAAATAACATCTTCAAACAGACTGGCCTAATAACTTTGTATTGTAGGCCTCACTGCCCTGTAACAGACTTAATTGTACTGTATTTATACATAAGTGTTTTAAATCTCATGTGTTCAAAACACAAATGAGTATTGCAAATATTTGGATGGCAAAATGTCTTTCATTCCCATATGCATGTTGGTAGAAAACCTGGGTGGAAATAGTTAGCATGTATAAGTCTTTAATGCCCTTTTTGATTTAGATCCAGTAACAATGCCAGGAAAAATGTTTTAAAACAACCACTGTAAGCTCAGATTTCTTTCAGCGATTTACCCCCGATATTGTCCTTTAATTGGAGTGTTTAAGAAAGCCCTAAAATTATGGCAATAAATACATTATAGCGCATACATTTTTACAAGGTGATCGCTACACTATTACCGTAGTGTCTGAATTCTAAATTCTAAATCTTTCACAGTGCAATATCAGGACATTTTTGCTAAGGTAGCATCATGGTATTGTAATACAAAACCATAAGTTTAATATTATTAATTACAAAGAATAAACCAGGCCATATTAAGAAAGTAACACAAAAATACACCAAACATTTACAGTAATTAAGATTACAAAGGCTCTTAAACTAACCTATTAAATGCACATTACATTACAAAGAAATATGATACATTCATGGTGGTGTTAGCCCTTTGTACAGCCAACATATCAATGTGAACCCTGTAAGTGAGAATAGGGAACCGCAGGAGCGCTAAACATCATGGGAGTTGTTCATCACAGCAGGAAGGGAGAGCTATATGGGTTACAATTTGTGGGGCTGCACTCCTGCCTCCCTCGACTTGTTAGGCTTTACCCAGTTAACACCATGAGATGCCATTTTCTGTTTAGAACCAGCTGCATCTGCAGTCATCAATGAACGGGAGACGGGAAATTGCAGATATAATCATGTCAGACATATGTTATTTTTTTTAGCACACACTTGTCAGTAGTCCTTACAATGGCAATACATTTTATATATATATTCCAAATGTCCTTGGCACTCACCCCTTTAAATCTTTTCAATCTTTCTGCCTTGGTGCAACCAGCGTACTGTATTATATCCAATAAGATGAAGGTGCACTCAAAGGTCTTAATCCAATCGATGTTTCGACCCCTCAGGGTCTTTTTCAAGATTTTGATCTTGAAAAAGACCCTGAGGAGATGAAACGTCGATCAGGAAAAAATATTTTTGATGAAATAATTTACAAATAATAAAAAATCACTTGGATTAAGACCTTTTGCATGCACCTTCAACTTATTGGAGATATATATATATATATATATATATAATTTGCAACAAAAACTGGGGTGTCATAATTGCTCTTCAAAAATATTTCTGCCTAAAGTTCTATTTTCTAGGGTCACCATAATGGCACATGCTACTTCACGTTTCCTCCCATAATGCCTTTAACAAGCAATACATGGAGGTAATGATAACTATGAAAGTAGCTAGCGTCCCTGCGGTTTCCAATTCCTAGTGTTTACTAAACATACAATGCCTAGCTCATGAAGATCCTCATTCCTTTTCTGTCTACTTTTGGATATCCGCCAGTGTGTGTTTAAGGATAGTTTTGAGAGTACCGTAAACCGAAGGACCATTCTCAGAATCTTCTGAAACCTTAACGGAGTAAAAACAGGTATAATCAACTATTATTTCAATCTCTCAAAATTAAGATAAGTGTTAGATCAATGTTATAGCTTACATTCTTCCCTTAGCATGCAACCCATTTTGGCTCAGGGGAAAAATGGGAGATAAAATACACTAAAGGGAGTAAAATATTTAAAAGACGGGATAAGAAACACAAAAGGGAGGTTAAGAAGCACACAGGTGAAGATGTGTGCCTATGTACCCAAAATTCTCTGCACAAACAGCATACGGAGCGGTCAGTAATCTGATTGCAATCACCATGCAGCTACCATCAGCTTAGGCAGCAGTTTACTAATCGTATCAGTTGCAGAGTGCTAAACTAAATATTCCATATATACTTCTGCTGCAGAAAACAGCAAATCCTGGGGATTGTCAGCTTCTGCAGGAACATTTTCAATGCATTAACAAAGGGGGGTCAAGTCCAGCCAGGCATGGCCCTTTAAATTGATCTTACCAAGCACAGCATTAAAATTATCCATCTAACAAAACTGGGTCAAAACAGCATGAGATCAACAGGAGTATGTATAAAACAGGGAAAAAATATCTGTAACTGCATTTGTTGCTTTGCTTGGCATCATTTGTTCTGTCCCTAAACAATGTTTTATCGATACAACATGAAGAAATTAGCCTGACCCTGTGCAGGAGATTTAATGAGCTCTCTTTGCTCAGTAAGTGAGCAGGTATGAATGGAATAGGGTAGCACGTAGAGACGACTTCAGTGTATAAAGGGCTAACTGAATAGCTGAGTGGCCTACTTTCTTTAATACCGCTGTGGGTATTGAAAGGAAAATCATAATGGAAATTAATTTCTGCTCTTATTCAAAAGCTACTGAAATCAGCATTTCTAACTCGTAATGATGGACACATTCATTTGCAAACACATATATACAGTATACACTAAGAGCCATGACGCTTGCAGATGTATAAATCCTGATTTCAAGCAAACACCAATAAAGAAAGGGGTCCATCTAAAAGATTAACTATTTTGATGCAAACTACCAAAGGTACACTTCAGTCTCTCCAGTCACAAACAACAACAAAAAATAAGAAACACATTTCATATTCTTACATTTATTGCAAATCTTCAGGCTTCAATGAACACTATAGTGCCATATAGGTCTAAATAACAGTTTAGTTCCCCCAGTGTCACCTCTGGTTAAAAAGATGACTTGCTCACCTTTTTGCAGCGCCGCCCGGGTCCGGTTGCAGCTGGCTCTACCCCCTTGGCCAAGATCATTAAACTTGATGATCTCAGCCAATTTATTGCTTTCCTATAGAAAAGCATTGGGAGGCAATTGCACATGCGCAGCGCCAATCAGCATCTCCTCATAGAGGTGCATTGACTCAATGCATCTCTATGGGGAAAGTTCAGCGCCTGCATGCAGTGAGCTCTGTCCATATTTACCACTTGTATTATAATGCTTATGAGATATGGTACTAGGGGATTATGATAGTAGTTAAGGATTAAAAGAAAGCAAAAGCTGAGAGTACATGTTATATAATATGTTTTTGTTAATTGTGCTGCATTTCTGTTCAGAAGCCAACTGTGTTTCATTGTTCTTGTATGCACATTGTACAGTGATAACAAAGTTGAATTTTAATCTTTTTTAAATGCACATATAGTACTTCAACATACTGCTAAAATTGAATGAAAAGAGCTGCTTAGTAACATAGTAATGTGCAATTTTGTAAGATCCAGGAGGAAAATCTATTCTTTATAAAAGGGCATCAGGATACAGGGTATAGCAGCCTATAAATTAATTCATTGATTTAAAAAAAAAAAAAAAAAGCATTCATTCTACGAACTGCTGGTAGCACTTTTCATGAATCCAGCAACATATATTGTAGGTGTGTGTGTAAATAATAACTTTGAATGAACAAATAATTGCACCTACCTTCGTAAAAGCTTTGATGATCCGTGTGAGCAAAGCGTCCTCTATATCAGGCGCTATTGGCTGTAGTATACTCACACATTGTAAAACACAAAGGATGGTTGGATATCGACTCTAAAAGCAAAAATAAATAAATGTGCAAGTCAAATCACATCTTGACTTTGTACCATATAGGTTCCTACAAAAATTCTCTTTTCTATGTTTCTCCTTTTGTTTTAACATATTAGGGTTACTGTACACTATTATTTCATATTTAAATGCTTATTCATTTGCCAGTACTACTGTTTAGTGGTGAATTTCATGGTTTCAGTTATTCCCCAAATACAAGAAAACTATTTGCTGAAATCAATGATTTCTAAAGCAAAACTAATTTCTATGTATAGATTATTAATGTATAATGATCAAACTTGATTTGTTTTTTTATACACCCCGACTGACTGCCCCTCCAAATAAAATGCCTGCAAAATCTCTACCTTGGCAGCATCAGAAAAGTAGTAGGACAATTTTAAATAGATCAGGAGTACTAATGACCATGACCATGTGCACGTGCTAGTGTACATTGTAGACTCCATTACTTTCGTTGTTTTTAATGTATTAAATTAACTTTTATAAGGTTTATAAACATGTTTTGCAAAGAAAGAAATTACTTTGTCCAGCAGGTAAAGGGCGCTGTTCAGATCACTTCCAGTCAGCAAATCGATATCCTCCCTAGTAATAGCTGGTTCTTTTAACTGCTCCATCCAAGACCACATGAGACTGCACAGAACGAAAAGGTTTGTTTCCGAGCAGATTCTATCCCAGGCAGCTTCTCGAGAATTCAGCTCTTTCTAATAAAATCAAACACAGATTTTATGGATGCCACACCTCAATAGTACACAATTCTCTCTCTACACCTACTTAGTGTTTAGTTCTCACAGTTAAAGAAGACCTTCAGGTAGTTATAGATTAAATCTATACATTTTGCCAGCACAAATGTCAGCATATGTAAAGATTAAAATTTATAGTTACCCGAAGATCAATTCCTGCTTACCCAATATAGTGCCTCCATTCTACCATCTGTGGCATATGAGTGAATAATGTGCAATAGCTGTGAGATGAAACTGCAACACACAGCATTAGGGGGGACAATCAGATATTAAGGAGGGGGAGAAGGAGGGGGAGTGCAGTGTTATTTAGAAAAGTGCCAATATCTGAAATACTTTATTGGTCTGAAGTGCCACTTTAATTGCTTCCTAAGTAAACCCTATTACACCCCCCCCACACACACACACACACACCCCAACCCCTATGGCAAACAGAGGTTATAGAAGTTGCAAGATTTCAAGGTAAACTGTGTCTTTGAAGACTAGCTGCATCTTCACTCCCCCAACAACTACTATTGTTACACCACAAGTTACGTTACACATACCTGCCAACCCTTCACCTTCTCTGCCACGTCTGTTAAACAGTCCACATTTAGCTCTGCAAGAGCTCTAGCTACAAGCAATCTCCGGCCCTCAAGACTGAGCTCACATTGTAAAACTATGTGTGGGATGAACTCTGACACCTCTGCTTGTCCATGGCTTTCACCTTCTAGGTAAAACGTGGCTTTAGATAGAGAATGCTCTTCTGGAGAGCAGCCATTTGCCCTTTCTGGCTCTGAGATATCAAGAGTTTTAGAGTCACTGGATTCTTGGGTACACCGGTTTGGCATAATATTGGTTAATAAATTAGAATCTGTTAACGGTGTTTGGCCACTGTCTGGAAATGAGGAATATCCTAAGGAAAAAGTATGGCTTCGCTGGATTTCCTTTGGGACCTTCCTCCTGTGGAAAAGTGGAGACCCATCCCTCTGGGTCTCGATGCTACCAAGCTTGTTTTGGGTCCAAAAAGAAAAAGCGTGCTGCACAGAGGGCTGTTTTTTAAAATTTGGCTTGGGTGTTTGCTGAGTTAGGCCATCATTTCCTGAGACGCAACATTGTTTCACCTTCATCTGATGGTTTAGGTTATTTATGAATGACATTTGAGCTGGTTCAGTCCATGGTGTTTCACCCTGTTCAAGGAGTAATTCTGCCTTTTTTAGATCAGAGTCACTGTAGCTCAAACGCTTTTTCAGATGGGACAAAGGCTGGAGACGCTCAACGTTCCTCCTTTTCCATAAAGGATCAAATTCCTGTTCGCTCGATAATGCAGAGTCCTGGGTAAAACAGCAAGCTGCAGAGGTCATTGGAGGGCATAACGGATCAGAAACTTCAATATCTCTTCCTAACACTTTATCCAACAGTACAGTGGGTAACAAAGAAACAGTCTTCTCAATTTCAGCAGAGAGATCTGGCATGTCCATAATTTCCTCTCCAATCACTTGCTTATTTTCGATAAAGTCCAAAAGTAACTTACAGACTAAATGAACAATTTTTGGCACATATTTGAGATGGCGGGCTTCATAACCATGAAGAAGATGCTGCTGACGGATCAAGTACTGAGATAAAGTCACGGAATGAGCCTTAGGATCACAGCAGGCAAACACATTGTGGAGTGGGGTCAGGAACTGAGTGAACTCTCGAATACAGAGCAACTGCACCCGCGTCTGAATAGCATTGTGACGTTTTGCCCGTACAAAAAGAATAGCTTGGTCTGCAGTCATTCGCGTTGCAAATATTAAATAACATGCAATTAAAACACCTGTTGGGAAAAGATATTTATGTTAACTTACAAAGAGCATGTTACAAAAAAAAAAAATAGGAAATATAAACCTGAAAATAGCCTTAACATTTTTATTTCCAGCCTGTCTAAGTCGCAGACGACTGAGGCAATACACATTTACACACATGTGTACCTTCTGCATAATATGTACATCCCAACTCCATTACACAAACATATCTTCCCTCTATCATGCATTCACACACACACACCCAGGCCCGAACTGGCCATCGGGCAAACTGGGCAAATGCCTGGTGGGCCGCGATGGCCAAGGGCTGAGGCCGACCAGGGAGATCAAAGGATCTTCCCAGCCGGCCCATGCAGGGCTGAGGCTCACTGAGCACAGCCCAAACATGCAACAAAGTCCCTTGATGGGCTGGTGAGAAGATTGGGGTTCTCTCTCACCGGCCCATTGCACAGACAGGCAGGGCAGCGCTGATCTAACCTCCTGCTGTGGGCCACATATCTATCATGTATATGTAGATACCAACCACCTTCATCTCATCCACTCATAGACACCTCTACTCCACCATACACATACCTTCTGCACACAGTCACAATGAATATGGTATGAACATGCAGAGGCTGCTCTTGACTTTAGGAGGCCATATTGTTCAGACGCTTGCAGTGTCACGGCTTCCTGTGCACCTGTATTGTGAGCTCTCTGGCTGTAGTTGTAGCATAATTTGCAAACAAAATTCATTTGCAATAAATAAATTTAATTTGCAATTATGCCTATTGTTTTTTCACAATTGTGGGGTATGGTTGCATAGCCTGGCAGTTGCTTATACATAAGTACTGGTGTAAAGGGGTTATCGAAAACAAAAATGAAAATTTGCTTGTAAAAAATCCTTTACCAAATGATACAGTGTCTATGATGTATGTCTTCAGCTGGTGACTGTGACAGAGTGAGTAAAGGGTACCAGTGGCAGGGAGAGTGTGACAGGACGAAGGGGGCAAATGGGACAGGGTGGGGGGGTTGTGAGAGAGAAAGAGGGAGTGCGAGTATGACATGGTTTGATGAGGTAGTGTGACAGGATGAGTGGAGGTAAGTGTGTCAGGGCAATAGTGGCATGGTAGGAGGGACGAGTGTGACAGGATTGGAGGGGTTAATGTGACAAGGTAATTGTGGCATAGTAGGGGTGGAGTATCACAGTTTTGGGGTGAAGTGTGAATGTGGCAAGGTTGGAGGAGGGAGTGTGACAGAATTAGGGGAGTTAATTTGACAGGGTGAGTGTGGCAGAGCGAGGGCAGGTGAGTTTGGAGGGGGTGAGATTAACATGATTAGGAGTGGTTAATGTGAGTGTGGATGAAGGGGCTGAAAGTGTGGAGAGGGGATGACAGTGTGGTGACAGGTGACAATGTGTGGGGATGTGATAGTGTGAGAGTATGGTGACACTACATTGTGCGGGGTGACAGTGTGTGGGGGGCATCATAGTGTGTGTGTGAGGGGGTGACAGTGTGTATAAGAGAGTGTGACCGTGTGTGTGAGGGGTTGACAGTTTGTGTGTGTGTGGGGGGTTGATCCTGTGTGTGTGTTGCGGGTTGGTCCTGTGTGGAGGGGTGAGGGACAGATGGGTGATTGTGTGTGGGAGAGGGGTGATATTGTTAGGGAGGGGATGATGGTGTGTGTGGGAGGGGGTATCACTGTAAGTGGGAAAATACTGTGAGGGAGTGGGTGATAGTGTGAGGCAGGAGGGATACTGGGAGGGAGGGGGAATACTGGTAGGGAGAGGGGTGATAATGTGAAGGAGGGGGTATACGGGGAGGGAGTGGAGTTATAGTGTGAGGGAGGGGGTATACTGGGAGAGGGTGATGGTGAGGGGGATACTGGGAGGGAGAGGGTGATGGTGTGAGGGTTGAGGTTACTGGGAGGAAGGGGGTAATGGTGTGAGGGAGGGGGATTATTGGGAGGAGGTGATAGTGAGGGGGGGATACTGGGAGGGAGGGGGTGAGGGAGGCGGTATACTGGGAGGGGGTGATAGTGAAGGGGTTACTGGGAGGGAGGAGGTGATGGTGTGAGGGAGGCGGTATACTGGGAGGGGGGTGATAGTGATGTGGTTACTGGGAGGGAAGGGGTAATGGTGTGAGGGACAGGTTATACTGGGAGGTCTGAGAGGGCGTGAGATTAAATACCTTATTTAATTCCCTGGTGGTCCAGTGTCCTTCATTCCCTGGTGGTCTGGTGGGCTCCCTGGTGGTCCGGTGGTGATGTCCGGTCTGCAGCTCCGCAATGTGCAGAGCTGCAGACCATGTGTCTCACGAGACCCGGTCAGAGCGTTGCTGTGGTAACCCACGGCAACACTCTGATTGTCCAGATCTCGCGAGGCACATGGTCTGCAGCTTTGCACATTGCGGACCAGCGGCCACGGGCGCTCTCCTCCCAGGCAGACAGCATGGAGGGGCCTCGCAGCCGGCGGCATACTGAAGAAGCCGCCAGGCCCCCTCCTGGTGTCGGGTCCTAGGTCACTGACCGAGGACCGACACAGTCTGCCCTAAGGCGGTTTAGGCGGCCACGAGGCCTTAGACGTCCGCCTAAACCGCCTAATTGGAGAGCCACCTCTGTGAACATGCTTTGCCATAATAGGCTCAGAACATTGGATTATAGAAAGATTTGGCTGTGGTATATAACACCTTCCAGTGCTCTTACATTGGTGTTAACTCTTTCAGTGTGTCTTTGAGAGATTGTCATTGCAGTGTCAGCTCAATCCACACAAATATTTTGGTCACACAATGACTACGACATCCCAAACACAGAGGTGGGCTTTAGAAGCTGAAAAATTCTTTACAGTTTTGTCAAACTGTTTGAAAATGATTTGACAGGAGAGACTGCATCCCTTAGCCTCATATCTAATACAATAAACTGGAGTGGTTATGGTGCATGGATCATCCATTTAAGATAAGGTTAATTTACTGAAAGATTAATTTTACAGTTATATATATATTTTCTTCAGTGGGAAACAGGAGAGGCAGCCTGAATGGACTAATGCATCCATGTCAGTTTGCCTCCAGTAAAAAATAATAATAATAATAATAATTAAAAGTTTCAGGACAAAATTATGTTTATATTCTTGCACTCCAGAAGTTCCTAAAGGAGATTTGCATATTTTCTCATGCTTTACGGAGATCAGAAATAAATGATTAGTAAAATGTACTGCAAAAAACATCTATTTGTATTAAAAATTCAAATAAAAATACCTTTTTATTCATTAAAATAGAATATGGCTTGTGTTTTTCACCTCTGTTATTAAGATACTTTGTTAGAAAGAAAACCAATCATGTACCAGCTGGATAGCAGAATGCACCCCTCAATCATTTTACAGAGGATAACAAAAATGACAAACGACAACCCTTTACCTGTGCGTCCAAGCCCTGCATGGCAGTGAATAGCTACTTTGCCTTCTTGTAACGCAAACGTCATCACTTTAACCATGTCAAGAATTGTTGTAAGTGACGCAACTCCATAATCTTTCCATCCAAAATTATAGAAGTAAACTGAAATAAAGAAAATATTCCATTTATATTGGGTACATATTATGTAAATTTATAAATTATTACTTTTAGCTGGTAATCATTCATGTTTGCAGTAAATGTTTTTTATTTTCTTCATGACAATATTACACTGGATTACAGCTGCAACAACTATTTGATAAAATATATAATAATCAATTATGAAATGAATGGTCAATGAATCTCATTATCGATTTGTTGGTCTATGCATGGCACGGGGCACATTTACTCATTGCTTTACTTCTGCTGCAAAACATTTTTATTACAAAACTGCATAGATGTGACATTAGCCAGGGAGGAACTCTAGTTCCGGGTTGGCTGATTACACCCAAATTTTTTATAGCGAAGTACTGCACATGCAGGCCCAAGGCACCATCACCACTTCAAATCACTGAAGTGATGATGGTGCTTGGAATAACAATTCAATCTAAGCAGGTTACAGTAAGTATAATTGGAATTGCCACTTAAAGACCTATCAGTGCGAACGCTCCATTTTGTAGTTGCATCAACGTTTTTAAAAATCCTTAGAAACAGCTACTGATGAAAACGAAGAGAGAGCATGCGATCTCAACAAACAATCAAATCGTGTGATTTATAAAGATGCTCAGAACTTTCTAATGTACAAGGAACAAGAAATGGTTCTTCAAACTCACTGCTTGATGTTTGGGGCAAAAATGCACAAAATTAGCTGGAATCTTTTGTATTCTTTTATTTTTATTTAAAAAAAAGGAAGAAACCCCAACAATGCAGAACAGATTTCAAATGACCAGGACACGGCATAGACAAATTTTAACAAAATATTATGGTGCATAAGCAATTTCTGATGATGGTGACTTAAAATCTTACATCATAGACTGGTGTTACTCAAAAGAAAGTTAGCTGATTCACATCTAGCTGCAGAGGCTGTATTGAAAGGCTATACATATACAGAGTTATGTTACAAATTAAAGGGAAACTCCAGTGCCAGGAAAACAATCCGTTTTTCTGGCACTGCAGGTCCCCTCTCCTTCCCACCTCCCAATCCCCGGTTGCTGAAGGGGTGAAAACCCCTTCAGTAACTTACCAGAGGGAGCGACGATGTCCCACGTCGCTGCTTCTTCCTTCGCCGCTGCTCCTCCTCTGTATTACGTTGGCCAGTGGGCGAGACTGATCCCGCCCGCCGGCCGGGGAGACCTAATGCGCATGCGCATTCGAGCTCCCCATAGGAAAGCATTGAAAATGCTTTTCAATGCTTTCCTATGGGGAATTGAGCGACCCCGAAGGTCCTCACACAGCGTGAGGACGTCCAGTGACACTCCAGCACAGGTTTCCTGTGCTAGGGACACGGAAGTGCACTCTAGTGGCTGTCTAGTAGACAGCCACTAGAGGTGGAGTTAACCCTGCAAGGTAATTATTGCAGTTTATAAAAAACTGCAATAATTACACTTGCAGGGTTAAGAGTAGTGGGAGTGGGCACCCAGACCACTCCAATGGGCAGAAGTGATCTGGGTGACTGGAGTGTCCCTTTAAATTAGAATAGGAAAACTGATGCTAAAATAGATCATTTGTGACTTCCGCTGGGATGGAGAATTTTTCCAGATCAACAATTTTTGCCTCAGATTTTCCATTTAATTTGCAAATAACTTTGTTTAATGCTTGGAACATATTTTACACATGCATTCCTCTTTAAACAATTATGACAATTCCTCTGTGTCAATTAACATATTCTTGGAGTGCTTGCCTCCTTCTAAAATAAGTGATTCCCTTCTTCTTAGTAATTGCTCTACTAAATAACATTTAGCAAACAAACATTTTTATTCATCTTAAATAAAAAATATTTTATCATATAGCCAATTAATCGTAATAAGTTAATAAACTGAAATAATATATCAGTAACTGCAGTATTGTTTAGGAATCAAGGATGTTATGAAACAATTGCACTCAATATGAGGTCTACGTTCAATTTCCAATTACTATTAAAATGCAGTAGTCATTCCTCCAACCTGCTGATTGCTATATTACACAAGACCCTATCTTTCCAGCCAGTGTGTAGTGCCTAACACAACAGGTCTCCACCAGCCACTGGGGGTGTTTTATAATTAATTAGAACAAACAGCAGGGTAAGACTCACTTTCAGCTTCCATGAAAGCCTCCGGACGGTAGGTGAAACCGCTTTCTTGTTCCAAAGGATTTCCACAGCTGGCGTGCTCCCCAGGGCGCTGCAGATTAATTACTGTTTTTATACCATGGCTTCAGAAAAAAATTGAAAAAAAAGGATCAGGTTGAAAAAAAAGCCTCTTTTATTTACTGACAATTTAATTAGTTAACAAAACAAAATGAGCAAGTAAAAACACTTAAGTGAATGCAGACTACAGCTAACGGTGAATATAAATCTCCTACTGAATGGAAAAACACTGGCAAATATGGTAGCACATTACCGAACGCAGTTTCCGTCGGTTTGCACTGCATCCAAAATACTTTGACATATTAAGACGCAACGTAACTTTAAAAGGTTAGCTTGTGCCTCTGATCAGTTGGCCTGTAACTATATACAAGAAATGCTGGTTGCAATGAGCACACGTGAAACTGCATTCTTCCGCAAAACACAGTACATAAGTTGCATAAGAGTCTATTGTAGTGGTTATGGTGCAAATAGTCTTCTATATAAATGTTCAAGTTTGGATGCCAATGACGGTGTGAGATAAGCTTTATTAGTTGTGCTTAGCATGTCACTTTAAAATAGTGTGGATGGAACTTGTAACCAGCTGTCTAGATAGCCAGCTATCTAGAGCAGTGGTTCCCAACCCAGTCCTCAAGTACTCCCTAACAGTCCTGGATTTAGGGATCACCCAGTTGTGTCTAAGGCTATTTTTAGGAGGAAACAAAAAAACTTTAGACACAACAGGATAATCCCTAAATCCTGGAATGGTAGGGAGTACTTGGGTTGGGAACTCCTACTCTAGAGAATTAAGGTCACTATAAAAAGTGCTAATTTGCTCTAACAATACTTAGACTCGCTTTGTACCTATCTGGCTTATATCATATTTGAGCCTGGGTGTGTGTGCCTCTGTGCACTGGCAGCCTATTGAGAGGACAGAAATTGGCTAATTTTCTCAGCCAATTCTGGACCTACCATTGCTTTGAATTAGAGTGCTTGATGTATTTCATAACTCTAGTGTTCGTGTAATCCAGCAGCCACAAGGAGTATTGAAAATATTTAACAAAACTACTCATTGCTACTTCTTCTAGATTTGCAAATAGCTTTATCCTTGTTTATTCATGTACAAAGCTTCTCACCCCCAGTATATGTAGCACAGCTGTATCAGTTCTTTTAGAACATTACAGTAGCTCTTAAATAATGTGTACAGCATGTGCGATTCACAGCGTTGCAAAGTGAGCATGTTACAGCATCTAACAGTGAATGAATGGCGATCCTTGTAATATATAATCTATTAAAGGTGTACTTAGCCCCAAGAAAATAAAATCTATCTGAATCTAGTCGTTCTTACACATTTCAGAATATGTTAATACAGGATTGTTATTTGGTTTACCCATTTAATTACCTCTGGAACTGTTCAATTATATTAAACTTCTCAATTATTTCAGATGAAGGTCGTGCCATAGCCAGGATGTTGTCGGTAATCCTGAAAAATATAAGGCGAAAAGAAAAATGTAGAACTCATATTTGTTTTGTTGAAATCTGTTCTTTATAGTTTATTCCTAGCCTTGTAGAGATAAATTTCTCAAACTTCAAATCAAAATATGAATAAATATTTTTTTTAATTAAGTCTAACTGCTAATAACTGTATTCCCTTCCTAAACAAATATTTTCAGAGTAAAATAATTGTTGATGATAAAAAAAAGTCATTTTTTCCAGAATGCAAAAACCATTGTCTCCCTTTCAACCCCCACCCACACACCTCCCTTTCTTTTCTCATTTTTTTTTCTTTTCTCTTCGGCTTTCCTATCTCTCGGTTAGCACTTGATGTGCTTTACTCAAAAGAGAAATTATCAAAGAATATGTACATATTGTACCTCCAAGATAACCATGACACATTGTTACAACATTGGTCTGATGCTACATTATTAATAAAAGATTGTCCTCAAAAAAGATGTTATGTACAATAAAAATGTATATTTCTCTATTGTTAAAATGCTGTTGAAATACAATGTATTATATTTATAATGCTTTTTTTAAACAATGTATGTAAAAAATTAAGAATCATCAATAATGATTGTACATAAAACAGCAATTGTCTATTTCTTTCTGATGTTGTAAAGAAATGTGATTTGCTATTAAAAATAAAAAACACTAACAGATATTATAAGAAAAGTAAACATGAACTCAATTATATTAAATACTAATTTTAACAATGACTTGAAATGAAAGTGAGATTAATTTTTCAATAATGCTTCCCTTGCTGTCGCTATGTAGGGAGAATTCCACCTAAATGTGAATAAGGGCTCCCCAATTCCATACCACAACCAATTCATTTACCAGGAAGAGTAAAGACCCTTTATAGCCTGGTCCTCATCACTCCATCTGCTTGGGTTTTCATATTTACAGGCACGTCCTCCACAAGTCATCGAACACTGCATGTGACCGGGAATGACATGGCGCAGACGCTCGCCAACCTTTGTATATTTTGAAGTAGGACGTCTACCATTTCCTAAATGAAAAATAAATCTTCAATCAATTTTCAGCTCAGCTGAGTAATCTCCTTTTCTATGAATGAACACGAAATGCACAAATGTGTCTAATTTCTCAATTTTGTACAGTGTAAAAATGCTGAGGCGTTAAACAAAGCAAATCTTAGTAATTACCATTTACAGAACCATATCTGGTATTGTGATAGCTTTAAAGGGCACCTGTCTTGCCTAACAGAGACATGATGCCACTTAGAAGACAATTGCATTTAATCTATACCTGTGCTAGCAGAATTGCCAGCAAATGTACAAATTGTATAATATATCAAAATACTTATTAACCATATTAATCAATTTACAGCCAGGGGAGCTACGCTATGGAATAGCATGTATACCAAAAATTTAGTGGCAAACAACAGCAGAACTCTTGATTGTTCCCTAAACATTTTACGAGGTTCATGACAGGTTAAACACATCTACAATTAAAACATCTACATATTACTGCCATTAGGCACATTTCATTTCTTATTGAAATATATTTATATATATATATATATTTTTTTTTTTTTTATAAAGAATGTTGAGATGGATGTAATGATCCAGTGAACAAAGTTCTAAATACAGCCCTGTCTATTATATTTTAGGAGAATCCCTGGCTGAAGACATACATCTTAGATATTAGGATGATTAGCCTGTGTAAATAGAAATGTATAAATTAACATGCAACAAGTTAGCTCACAGCTAATTTTTTCCACAGCATCATGCAAATTCCATCCATCCTCCATTCTGCAACCTCAATCATTACACTCCTGAAATGGTATTTAGACTTATATAATAATTATATTTCATGGAGAGAAAGAAGAAAAATGAATTGGTTCAAACAAATGTTTAGAAAAATGGGTCAGTTTTGCAATTGTGTGACTCTGCAATACATCCAACATTTGCAATGATTTCTGACTACATAGAAACAGCTGCTAGCCAAAGAACTCTGGGGTTATTCAATACAACTGTCAATTCTTTAAAATCCCTTTTAAATTGCAAATTTTTGCCCACAATGCGCTAATTGGTAAAACTTTCCAACTCACTTGTTTTGGACAGAATTTAAAAATAAATAAATAATTAAATTCTTATTTTATTCACAAATCCTGGCTCAGTGAAAAAAAAAAGGGTAATATTTTCCCCTAAATATGCTAAACAGCTTTGTCATAACAAAAAGTAAAAAAAAAAAAAAAAAAATATCAAGGAAAGGCAATACTAATAAAATTTTGAGCATGTAATATGTTACTTTAATTAAAAAGAGATTAACAAGTACATTCATCAGAGTATTAACGGACATAAGAAACATTCTTGGAATATTTTCAGAAACTGATTTTTAAAGCAGTGTGTATTTACAAAGTTTGATACATAGGTTGCCTAGAGAAGAGAGCAGGTAAATAGCCCAATTCTCGTGGGAAAGTTTAAAGAACCTTTGAAGAACATATTCCAAAGTCCATACTTGAAACTAACAGCCTCAGTTTCCCTGAGAACAGAGATAACTGAATTAAATAAAGGAAGTAATTACGTGTTAGCTCGCAAATATTTGCATTCATGTCACTTTCTCCAACTGCAGATACAGCCACCATCACTCTATGCGTTGAAGAAGATAAAACTTCTATGGCGGAGCTACGCCTCCGTTGGAGATGGTTGAAAACATCTGATGTGGAGTGTCTACGTCCGTGAAAAAAGTTGCTGAGGATGCCAACAGCTGAGAGTCTCCGGGGCGATGCTTGCATGTTGTGTGTGCCTTCACCAAGTGATCCAGCTTCTAAGAGCACACTGCACACTACTTGGAAATATGTGGAGCATCTAATGGCAGGATAGGCTGGAGTGTCACCATGGAAACAAAATCTCAATACTCCGTTCCAATAGGATATTGGAGATACCGTATACCTGGATGGATTAGAATACTTAACCCTTTCACTACTCAAGGCAAGTGTGTGTAAAAGGGTCTATTAGCAACTAGGGAGAACGAATAAGAATTGCTATGATTTAATACTGAAATGAAAACTGGACGAGTGAGAACACAAGTCCTGTTAAGTCATTTTAGTTTAGCTTCATTTGGTGCATAGAGGAATAGCGTTATCAACTCGGAGGGTGATTTTAGAAGTTAAGAACATGCAAGCAGAAAAAAAAAGGACCTAAATGAAGTGGCCTGGGTGCACCGTCCCTGTTTCGTGAGAAAGCTAATGTTTTAATTGCAGGGTTTAAACACACCTGTAATGTCTGTCTTCCTGGCAGCCACTAGAGGCGCTTTCAGTGCGAGTCAGACTCAGTTCTCATAGAGAACATTTTGATTGCCCTTTGAGGAAGCATTGGATAGTCATAGGCTGAAAAGTAAATGTGAATTTTTATTTATTGCTTACTGGGGGGGGCATTCAAATTGTTAGAAGAACACTATAGCATTCCATTGAGATGCTATGTTTGTATCGCTACAGCGCCTCTTTAAGTGCATTTGTTAAGCTTTGTCCTTTTGTTAATGTTGTATTTAATCTCTGGCAAATATAGTAGTTGTAAAGATAAAATGCAAACCGGTATAATTCAGTATATGTTGGATAAGCTTGCTGTGTGGTAATAGAAGGGTTAATAAACAAAAGTGTTTTCTTAGCAATTTCTTTTGTAAGAAACTCTCAAGGCCAACAGATGTTAGTCACTCTCTCCTTCCTCACAAGACAAGTGCAAACAAAGTGTATGTGCATTGTAGTGAATTTGTAGAAAGGGGATGGTAACTAAACATTTCTTTGCTTGTAACTGGTATCTTGTATATATGCAAAATGTCAAACTCTTTGCCCCTCAGAAACATTTTTTCGCTGCTTCTCTCTCTATTGCAACGACTTGATCCTATACTTCCATTACTCCGGCCTCTGACTGGTTAATTGAAAAAGACTATTTCAGAGTGTATTGGCTATTTGGCTCACAGTCAAATGAAAATCTCTTCAGTTTAAAAAAAAAAAAAAAAAAATACATTTAAAAAGAATTAGTTTGCAGTGTAACTGCTATCTCCCACTTTTCATGAGTCAGCTTCCTTATTAGATGTATTCCAAGTAGGTATTCAGCACAGTGTATGAGAGATCAGTGTGAACCGAGCTGATAACATCACTCAGAGCCAATCACTGTCGCCTTGCAATCTGGCCCATTCTTCTTAGCACAAGTTGATAAATTATACTTAAAGGACCACTATAGTGCCAGGAAAACATACTCGTTTTCCTGGCACTATAGTGCCCTGAGGGTGCCCCCACCCTCAGGGTCCCCCTCCCGCCCGGCTCTGGAAAGGGGAAAGGGGTTAAAACTTACCTTTTTCCAGCGCTGGGCGGGGAGCTCTCCTCCTTCTCTCCTCCTCCGTTCCTCCCTGCCGGCTGAATGCGCACGCGCGGCAAGAGCTGCGCGCGCATTCAGCCCGTCGCATAGGAAAGCATTTACAATGCTTTCCTATGGACGCTTGCGTGCTCTCACTGTAAAAATCACAGTGAGAAGCACGCAAGCGCCTCTAGTGGCTGTCAATGAGACAGCCACTAGAGAATTAGGGGGAAGGCTTAACCCATTAATAAACATAGCAGTTTCTCTGAAACTGCTATGTTTATTAAAAAATGGGTTAACCCTAGCTGGACCTGGCACCCAGACCACTTCATTAAGCTGAAGTGGTCTGGGTGCCTAGAGTGGTCCTTTAAAAATACAGATAAGACGGGGACAGAGACTGGCTGTGGAGCAGTTAAGTCAACATTTTAGCTGACACTGATCTCTTATTGGCTAAGCTTCACTGAGTACCTTCCAATCAACTTTTATGAAAAGAAAGCTGCAGAAAGATTAATTTTTAGATTTATTTATTTTCATGAAAACTAAAGAGATTTGGAAGTGAAATAAATACAGCATCAATATGAGGCCATAATGCACTATCCTAGCAACAGGGCCGGACTGGCCTACCGGGATACCGGGAAATTTCCCGGTAGGCCGCCGGCCCCGGGGCCGCTTTAAGATGTGAAAAATATTTTTCCTGTTACTTCGTACTTCTGCGGCCTACCGATGCGTCTGCGGCTCATGATCAGAAGAGCAGAGCGAACGCAATGATTTTTTCCGCCCGCCGGATGTGAGCAGCATATGACAACATGACGTCAAATCTGGTGGCTGCGCAGCGGCGGATCTACACTGCACAGCATGGCAGCATCCCTTCCCTCCTGCACACAGACACCGGCATCACTGAGCTGAGCTGCCCTGTCTGCATCTTGTAGTTCAGGTAGGAGTAAAGGGGTTTGGGGAACCTACTGTGTTTTGCATTTGAGGGGTGTATTAGGGGGAGGGGGGCCAGTAGTGTTTTAGATAGTGGGGAGGGGGCCCACCAATGTATTAGATAGTGGGGAGGGGGCCCACTAGTGTATTAGATAGTGGGGAGGGGGCCCAATAGTGTATTAGATAGTGGGGAGGGGGGGCAGTAGTGTATTAGATAGTGGGGAGGGGGGCCAAGTAGTGTATTAGATAGTGGGGGGGGGGCACTAGTGTATTAGATAGTGGGGAGGGGGCCCAATAGTGTATTAGATAGTGGGGAGGGGGGCCGGTAGTGTATTAGATAGTGGGGGGGGGCACTAGTGTATTAGATAGTGGGGAGGGGGTCCAGTAGTGTATTAGATAGGGGGAGCGGGTCAGCAATGTATTAGATAGGGGGAGGGGAGCCCAGCAGTGTTTTAGATAGGGGAGGGGGGGAGGTCAGCAGTGTATTAGATAGGGGGTCAGCAGTATATTAGATAGGGGGTTCAGCAGTGTATTAGATAGGGGGAGGGGGGGCCCAGCAGTGTTTTAGATAGAGGGGGGCAGCAGTGTATTAGATGGGGAAGGGGGGAGGTCAGCAGTATATTAGATAGGGGGGGTCAGCAGTATATTAGATAGGGGGTTCAGCAGTGCATTAGATAGGGGGTCAGCAGTGTATTAGATAGGTGGAGGGGGGTTCAGCAGTATATTAGATAGGGGGAGGGGGGGTCAGCAGTGTATTAGATAGGGGGAGGGGAGTCAGCAGTGAATTAGGCGCAGTAAATTATGGGGCTGGCAATTTCTTATTTTTTCCAGGGCTGCTTTGTATCCCCAGTCCAGCCCTGCCTAGCAACCTACATTTCTACCCTATCTTTACTTTTTGTGTCCCTCATTGAGCAGGACCCTCAATCCCTCTGTTCCTTGTCTGGTTACAAATATGTGTCTGTTAGTTCACCCATTGTACAGCGCTATGGAACTATTATAAATAATAATAATAATCAGTTGTTGCTCTAAGTGAATCAATAGCTCCCCATTCATAAAACTGAGTGAAAGGGACCTCCAGTATGATTGCAGCAAAGATTCTAATGACTTTGGAAAGAAATGCTGCATATAGCAAAATAAGACTATGAATACAGTAAAAGAACCAGCAAGGAAAATAAACTGGGACTTTTAAGTGCAGCGTGTTTTAGGTACTGGGATTTTGAATGGGAGAGCGACACAAGAGCCAGTGACATAATTATATAGTGCGAAGACAGATGATAAAGAAGAAAAATGTGGCATATTGAATGGATAACAGAAATATACTGGTTCCAATATTTTCAGACTCTTCCAGTTTAGTGACATAGAAACCCAGTTTGCTCTTCGTGGTGGCATTTATGTTAGTGTCTCTGATTGCTCAGTTGAAGATCAGCTTGGTTTCCAAGACAAGGAGATAACATCTGATTTCCAAGACTTGCCTGAACGTTTTTGTGCAATGCACAGTATCACGTCATTATACAAAATTGTACACATTAAAATCTCTTCTCTTTTATAGAACAGGCTTGGACTTTGAATAAAACGGTTAACATTTGCTTAGAGGTTTGCAGATCTGCCCAGTTTGCGATAGAAAAAGATTGTGTTTTGTTCAAACCTGGACTGAAAGAATCTAGAAGTTGTGGAATCAGCTTTTTGGGCAGAGGGAAATAGGGATCAGGTAAACCTAAACACCATTGTGTCCACAAGAAGTAAATAGGTCTATGCCAAGTCATGTTTGATTCCTGGAGGCACTGGGGCAAATAGATACTGTATTAAAATGAATCAAGAGTTCATTTACGAGCGGTGAGTCCCCTCTACATGAAGGATGCTAGTATCCATCATCTACACCTTTGGCTCTCCAGATCATGTGGACTACATCTCCCATAATGCTCTTACAGCCATTATATTAGCAAAGCATCAGGTATGATGTAGTCCACACAGGACCGGTGCAAGGATTTCTGCCACCCTATGCAAAAAAAAAAAATGTGCCGCCCCATTAAATTCACAGCAGTCCAGTAGGTTTAACCTGGCAAGATAAAACATTGCCTTGCCTTGAAGGGTTAAACATGCCTCTAGTACCTGTCACACTGACAGTCACTAGAGGCACATCTGCTGTTGGAAGTGCATAGAGCTTGCCATGTATGCGCATCAGATCCCCAATGCTCCTGCATGAGTAACATTGGATTGGAACAGTGTTGTCCCATCAGTGACATTAAGCGAGGTAAGGAGGCAAAAGCAGTGCAGAGGGAATCTTGGTGCTTGAAAAATGTTAATGAAAGTAAACCCCCCTCTCTCTTTTTTTAAAAATCATTTTATGGTGGGGGGGTGTTTCAATCTATGTAGGGACAGATACACTATAGCAGGGATAGGCAACCTTCGGCACTCCAGATGTTGTGGACTACATTCCCCATAATGCTCTTACAACCATAATGCTAACAAAGCATCATGGGAGGTGTAGTCCAAAACATTTGGAGTGCCGAAGGTTGCCTATGCCTGCACTATAGTATTTGGAGTACAGGTTTATATTCCTAACACTATAGTGTTCTTTTAAACAGGGCCGGACTGAGAATTAAAAGCAGCCCTGGAAAAAAATTATTTACCAGCCCCATTATGCGTTGCGCCAGCATAGTGAGCAGATACAGAGTTAGAAAAGATAACTTAAAATTTAAAATTATTACTCCAACGTGAAAAAAAAGCACATATAGGCTTATAAAAAAAACAAGAGTGCAGATTTATTTTAAGCAGACGTGCTTTTGTATATAACCAATGTTTCAGTCGAACTACCATGACACATTAAGGAAAGCTTGGTAATGGGACTGAAATGGTGAATGTATGTAGGGCACGACTGTAAAAAATTACGTTATCTTGTTTATTTTGAAGTCCTTTGGGTGCGCTCTTCACTTTAAATATGTTATTGTGCTGGAGTATGCACCTAGCAACAAGACTGGGCCAATATCTGCTCATTACATATGGTACATATCAATGACATATCTCTGTGTATTATGCATTTATAAATGTACATTAATATATGTGTAAATATTAAAGGTATAATTATATATATATATAACTAATACACACATTAATATACATGTCATATATATATATATATATATATGTATATATATATATATATATATACACACACACATACATACATACCAGTGGCGGATCCAGAGCCTGATCTCGGGAGGGGCATTTATAGATTATTTAAAGAAATAATCCAGGCACAATAACCACTACTGCTCTGTGTAGTGGTTATGGTGCCAGGAGTGCCAGGACCCGCTCCCAGAGTAAGTAGTCAAACCGTTTAAGAACAGTTTGACAACTTACCTGGGGTCTGCTGGGATATGGGGCTGTAGTAAGGTATTGGAGCAGTGGTGCAATGTGTGAGGGGTGCAGTTTGTGTGAAAGGTTCAGTGTGTAGGGTGTGTGGGGCAATGTGTGTATGGGGGTCTGTGTGTGTGTATGGGGGGGCAGTGTTTGAATGTGTATGGTGTGTGTGGGGGCAGTGTGTGTATGGGACTAGAGTTCACTCTCACCACTGCGACCACCAGGAGTTCCTGGTGGTCGCAGTGGTGAGAGTGAACTCTAGCCCGTAGCTCCAGGGCTAGAGTTCACTCTCGCGAGAGCCGGAGCGTTACCGCTGTAACCGCGGCAACGCTCTGTACTCGCGCAAGAAGGACCCGGGGGAGCTGCAAGCTGAGCTCCCGGGTCCTCTCTTCCTCCCTCCTCTGCCGGCTGCCTGCCTGATCTCCCCTCCAGTCCGTGAAGGCACAGGGCGCTTGGACAGTGCCAGCCAGGGCCGCCATCAGGGGGTGACAACCATAACGGTTGTGACGGGTCCGGCGATCCTGGGGGATCCACTTTCCCTTTCTGTCGCTATCTATGTGTGCAGCCGCGGGCCCCCGGCTCCCTGTTACCGCAGAGGGGGCCCAGCACATTGCTCTTCTCTTCTAATAGCTCTCGCGAGACCTGGTTACCATGGCAACGCTCCGCGGGTTTCGCAAGAGTTATTAGAAGAGAAGAATCTGTGTGCTGGGCCCCCTCTGCGGTAACAAGGAGCTGGGGGCCCCCCATGCCACCGGACCACCAGGGAATGAATCTCCCCCCTCCCTGGACACAGGTAAGAAGCAGGGAGGGGGGAGAAACAGTTAATTAATTTAATAGGAAATGTATGTGAAATTTATGTGAAAATGCCCCTTCCTCCCCACCCCCGAGATTGCACATTTACACACACACTGCATACACTAACACAACACACACACTGCATACACCAATACAATACACACACTGCATACACCAATACAATACACACACTGCATACACCAATACAATACACACACTGCATACACCAATACAATACACACACTGCATACACTAACACAAAACACACACTGCATACACCAACACAAAACACACACTGTATACACCAATACAATACACACACTGCATACACTAACACACACACTGCATACACTAACACATACACTGCATTCACTAACACATACACTGCATTCACTACACACTAACACACACTCTGCATTCACTACACACTAACACACACTCTGCATTCATTACACATGAACACACATGAACACACTCTCTGCATTCACTACACACTAACACACACTCTGCATTCATTACACATGAACACACATGAACACACTCTCTGCATTCACTACAATAACACACACTCTGCATTAACTGTACACACAGCATCCACTACACAAACTTCCTGTATTCACAGTACACACACTAAATCCACCACAAATTGAAACACTCTGCATTCACTATACACAGACACTGTGTCTAATACACACACACTACATCCACTGCATCCACTAAACACATTTCATCTAGTACACACAAACACTACATCCACTACACAAACACACACTACATCACTGTACACACACTACATCCACTACTCAAACACACTCTGCGTTCACTATACACAATGCATCCGCTACACAAACACACACTCTGCATTCATTGCACAAACAGTATCTAATACACACAAACACTACATCCATTACACACATTCTAATTCACTTCCAATATACACACCACATTCAGTCCTGCATCATTGTCAGCGGACTAGGTAGGGCGAAGGGGAGGGGAGGGGGCCCAGACCTTGTGCTTTGTCAGGGGCCCCAAAATTTCTGATGGCGGCCCTGGTGCCAGCCCTGCATTGGCCAGCAGGGGAGAGCCTCGGGGGGGTGGGGGGAATTGCCCATTGCCCCCCCTGGATCCACCAGTGATATATACAGCCCCTCTGTATGTTTCTTTCTCCCCCTCACTGCTCCTCTGTGTCCATGTCTCCCCTCTCCTTCCCAGTCTCTCTCTCCCCCCTCTGCCTCTTTCTCCCCCTCCCCTTGTGTGTGTCTCTCTCTCTTCCCCTCTGTCTCTTTCTCCCCCCTTTCCCTGTGTCTCTCTCTCCCTCTACCATCTCTTCTACCATTCCCCCTCTTTCTCCCCTTGTGTCTCACTCTCTGTCTCTTTCTCCCCTTTCCCCTGTGTCTCTCTCCCTCTTTCTCCCCTTGTGTCTCACTCTCCCCCCTTCTCTTTTCTCCCCCCTTTCCCTGTGTACTCTCCCCCTCTGTCTCTCTCTATTCTCCCACTGTCTCTTTCTTCCCCTGCTTCTATCTATTCACCCTCTCTCTGTTGCCACATGCTGCTGTGAATTGTGGGAACCGCGAGGGAGCATGGTAGAGAGACATGCTCCCTCCTCCTTCAGTCCTCAGCATTAGGAGTGCCGCCGGACCGGCGAGGCTGCCACCCGGCCCGGCAGCTCCAGCGTGGAACGCGGTCGGCTCCCTCTGAGTGTGCCACCGGACTGGCCACCTGGTGGCACATACCTGCGCAGCCCCCAGATGCCACGGCCCACCTACGAAGTTACCCTGTATCTCGGTGGGCCAGTCCGGCCCTGCTTTTAAAACTATTGATTTTTTTTTTTGATGGTCCTTTCTGCCCAAATGCAATCACTGATACATACACACCCTCACGTACACACTCAATGGTCCACATAATCACAATTAGTGGCCAATGCAGACACACATTCGCCGGCTCATGCAGAGTGACACACACACACACTGACTCAAGCAGACATAAAATTACTTGTGTTGGCTGACACACACACTGTGTGTCTGACCCATGCAGACACATACACGCACACTGTGTGTGTCTGACCCATGCAGACACATACACGCACACTGTGTGTCTGACCCATGCAGACACATACACGCACACTGTGTGTGTCTGACCCATGCAGACACATACACGCACACTGTGTGTGTCTGACCCATGCAGACACATACACGCACACTGTGTGTGTCTGACCCATGCAGACACATACACGCACACTGTGTGTGTCTGACCCATGCAGACACATACACGCACACTGTGTGTCTGACCCATGCAGACACATACACACACACACACTGTGTGTGTCTTACCCATGCAGACACATACACTGTCCCTTACAGACACACACACACACACTGACCCCAGCAGACACACACACACTGTCCCCAGCAGACACACACACACTGTCCCCAGCAGACACACACACACCATCCCTAGCAGACACACACACACTGACCCATGCAGACACAGGGAGCGCCGGCCCTGAGTCCACAACATCTGGAGTACAGAAGGTTACCTGCCCCTGCTCTATATTAATAATTAAAATACAATAATTTAAAAGGAATGTGATCTCTTCGGTAGGCTTTATTCTGTCTACTGATAAAACATTTGTGTTCACTACAATAATATACAGCAAAGGATATTACCTGCACTCATGTCTGCGAGTTGCGTGGTGCTAACGGGTGAGCTGCATTGGAATTCATTCTGTATCATAACTCGGGAAGCCATAACTGGGCCTACTATGAAAACAAAGAGAAACAGAGTTAACCCATACAGAGAAATATTGCATTTTTATTTACTTATATTTTAAACATAACTTCTAAAATATCTATAAATGTCACGCCTAGCACACTGACTGAATAATTTGAAAATCACAAGCAAATCATTTTGAAAATTGGCTTTAATATAAAGTAATAATATAAACAGAATTACCACGTCATGCAGTTTAACAGTGATCACAATATAGTGATAGTGAATAGTGATCACAATATAGTGTCCTTTGAAATAAACTCAAAAAAAACAAAAGCACATGGGGAATACTAAAACATATAATTTTAAAAAGGCCAATTTCAATAAGTTAAGGGAAGCTTTACAATATATTGACTGGCATAAACTCTTTAGTGAAAAGAACACTGAGGATAAATGGATCATCTTCCAACAAATATTACAAAGGTACATTTCTCAGTATGTACCATTGGGAAATAAATGTAAAAGAAACAAATTAAAACCAATGTGGTTTAGTAGAGAAGTAAAACAAGAGATTACAACTAAGAAAAGGGCATTTAAATCGGACAAATCAGATGCATCTTATAAAAGATATAAGGATGCAAATAATGCGTGCAAAAAGGCAATTAGACTTGCTAAACTTCAAAATGAAATAATGATAGCTGAAGAGAGCAAAACCAACCCCAAAGCATTTTTTAAGCACATAAATTCTAAAAAAAAACAAAATGAAAGTGTAGGTACACTAAAAACTGAAACGGGGGTGTTAGTTAATGAAGATCAGGAAAAGGCAAGAATTTTAAATAACTATTTCCCCTCCATATATATTAAGGAAGAACCCATGGCAATAGATGTGCAAATGATTGCAACTAAAAACTTGCAGAATAATTGTAATTGGTTAACTCAAGACAAGGTGCTGCAGCAACTAATCACAATTAGTGGCCAATGCAGACACACATTCGCCGGCTCATGCAGAGTGACACACACACACACTGACTCAAGCAGACATAAAATTACTTGTGTTGGCTGACACACACACTGTGTGTCTGACCCATGCAGACACATACACGCACACTGTGTGTGTCTGACCCATGCAGACACATACACGCACACTGTGTGTCTGACCCATGCAGACACATACACGCACACTGTGTGTGTCTGACCCATGCAGACACATACACGCACACTGTGTGTGTCTGACCCATGCAGACACATACACGCACACTGTGTGTGTCTGACCCATGCAGACACATACACGCACACTGTGTGTGTCTGACCCATGTCTGATCACAAACCGGACTTTACATAGGACACGAGGCCATGCGTTTAGACTGGAAGAAAGAAGATATCGTCTAAGGCAAAGGAAAGGTTTTTTTACTGTAAGAACAATCAGGATGTGGAATTCTCTGCCTGAAGAAGTGGTTTTATCAGAGTCCATACAGATGTTCAAACGGCTACTAGATGCATACTTGCAAGAACAGAATATTCAAGGATATAATCTTTCAATGTAGGGTAATAACTGCTTGATCCAAGGATAAATCTGACTGCCATTCTGGGATCAAGAAGGATTTTTTTTCCTATCTTGTTGCAAAATTGTGCTTCAAACTGGGTTTTTTTGCCTTCTTTTGGATCAACAGCAAAAAACATGTGAGGTAGGCTGAACTTGATGGACGCAAGTCTCTTTTCAGCTATGTAACTATGTAACAACTGACATTACATATAACAATCTACAGTTTCCCCTCTTAAGAAACTTAAATGATATTGCACAGGCTGTCAATTCAAAATATTTCATAGATATTACTATGACTCAACTTAGAAAGATTACAGGTTTTGTTGGTACTCTCAGAAATGAAACCTGTGACCAGCCTAAATTTTAATTTGTTCTGCAACTGGTGCCATCTTAGCGGTATATTACAAATCTTTACCAAACTGTACTCAACAGCTTGTATATCAATTGTACATCACAAGAAATAGTATGTATTATTCATTTTTTAGCATCTTAAAGCGGAACCATCACTTCTTTAGAAATTACACCTGCTTAAAATATTACAAATCATATACTCTTTTTTATCTTAAATGTATATTAAAAATTTAGAAAATTAGTCCAATTCAGTCCAGGCACAGCCAGAAAACAAATTGCAAGAGGGACACTCTAGGCATTTTAACAAGTCTTACTGAAGTTGTTATGGTGCCTGCAGTCCTGCCCCCCTGGAGAAAAGGTAGTTTGTTAATTTTGTAAAAAATTTTTTTACAATTGAAGGACCAAAATGTTAAGGTGCATCAGTATTGTAGTGTTTGAAATACAGCTATGTTTTCTTAACACTACAGTGTTCTTTTAATCACACACAGAAGGATCCTGCAGGGTATTGAAGGCTATTAACATAGCAAGAGAGAAGATATTCTAAATTAAACAGAATGTACAATAAAGGAAGTTTAAGCATTAGATCTTTATTTAAAGGAATTGTTTAGGAAGGTTGTGAAAGTCACATGCAGGTAGGTGTAACTAGGATTGTATAAACAAAGTGATTTAACCTTTTATTGTGGACAGCCTAAGGCACACCATTGCAACAATCATGCTGTCAGCATCAGCATCTTGATATGCCACACCTGTGAGGTGGATGGATTATCTCGGCAAAGGAGACGTGCTCACTAACACAGATTTAGACACATTTGTGAACAATATTTGAGAGAAATAGGCCTTTTGTGTACATAGAAAAAGTCTTAGATCTTTGAGTTCAGCTCATGAAAAATGGGGACAAAAACACAAAAAAGTGTTGCGTTTATAATTTTGTTCAGTGTGCTCAGTTTGTTCATACACACACACACACACACAAAGGACTATGTAAGCCAACAAGAGTACATATATTTGTACAGTATCAAAATATTTATTATAATGTCATCTTTAAATTACAGCTTATGCTAATGAAATAAATTACACCTAACTTTACCCGTGTTTTAGAATATAAACCAATTCACTGTCTAGTACATACTTTTACGACTCTCCTATCCCTTGGGCACCCATCACACTGACACCGGTTCGCTGGTTGTCCTTCCTTGCACCACTTTTGGTAGGTACTAAACACTGCATACCAGTAACAACCCCACAAGACTTGCTGTTTTGGAGATGCTTTGACCCGGTCGTCTAGCCGTTGTCAAAGTCACTCAGATCTTTTCACTTGCCAATTTTCCCTGATTCCAACACATGAAATTCAAGAACTGATTGTTCACTTAAAGCATGATATAACCCACTGTTTGACAGGTGACATTTTAATCAATATTATTCCCATCACCTGTTAGTGGTTTTTAACCCCTTAAGGACTGAGCCAAATGTACACGCTGTGATCAAAACAAAATCTGGAATTTGACAATATGTCTGTTCAACCGTAATTCAACTCATATTATGTGCACCCACACTTATTGTATATCATTTTATTCAAGGAAAACAGGGCTTTCATTTTACATCAAATATTTAGCTATGAAACATAATTTAATATGAATCAAATATTTTAAAAATGGGAGAAAATAAGAACTGTTATTTATTTTTTAGTTCTGCATGACATTTTAACTGTGAATGTGAAAGTGTTTGCTTTTACTGCAATAAAATACACATATTTGTATCCAGCGATGTCTCACGTGTAAAATAGTACCCCTGTGCAGGTTTTATGGTGTTTTGGGAAGTTACAGTTTTTTCACATTGAAATTCGCCAGATTAGTTACGTTGCCTTTGAGACACCGTATGGTAGCTCAGGAATGAGAATTACCCCCATGATGGCATACCATTTGCAATAGTAGACAACCCAAGGTATTGCAAATGGGGTATGTTAAGTCTTTTTTAGTAGCCACTTGGTCACAAACACTGGCCAAAGTTAGTGTTAATGTTTGTTTGTGTGTGTGTGTGTGTCTGTGTGTGAAAAATGCAAAAAAACTAATTTAAATGCCAGTTTTGGCCAGTGTTTGTTACTAAGTGGCTTCTACAAAAGACTGGACATACCCTATTTGCAATACCTTGGGTTGTTAACAACCATTTTGGACTCTTAACTATATATTTGTTTATCTATTATATAATACATACTGTATATATCACTGTACATATCAAAATTGCGGCGCTACCCCTAGCGCTTTCTTTTTTTCTGTGATTTATTATTTTATGCTCCCAAGATGGTCTGCCCAACCTAAACCTGGCAAAGCTTCAAGGAAGTTGTCTTCTAAAATTTGTACATCTATCTTTGGTCACTTCAGCTCTAGGATATTCTTAAAATGTCACTTAATGTTCTTCCTTGCCCATTGCCCCTCCTGTGGATTCATTCACAATTATGAGAACTCCAAGCTTAAAATTCCATTGTCGCATCCAGTCAACTACCCACCAACATATTCAAAATCATCTTCTCTAACCTTCACAAAGCTTGCACATTGTCCATTATTTTTGTTTTGCCTCTCACCTGATCATTTAATTTTCCTTTCCCTAACAGCCACCATTAATCTTATCCGATTCCACAAGATATGTCTGTTAGTATTTAACTAAGTGTCTTTATTTTTCATGTGAAATGGCTATTTAATTATTTTATTTTAAACCTTCCTTGATAAGCTACTATGCAAACAACGTAAAACAAATCAATCTCTGAAACGGAATACGTTAAAACGTTTCCTAACAAAAAAAAAGAATAAACAAACTAATCTATGGTTTTAATTTTCCAAAAAGGGTTGGTAAGAGAGTCTAGTCTCACCTGATCGCCTTCGTTTGATGGATGATCGGAAGCACAGAATACTTGTGGACATTGTGAAGTTTCTCTTGAATGTTCACACAGAACAGAAATGCAATTTCATTTCAGATTTTTGTAGGATGTATTCAGCATTGCCAGAAAACAATTGTATGCTTGTCCACCCGGCCTTTTAGCTGAGGTGGGCAGGATTCTTTCCAAATGCATGGCTTTAAATAGATGCCAACGTGATGTTATCAGCGACCCGACTCCCACATGTCACATTGACACTTTGCAGGAAAACCGTAACTCTCTAAACTTGCACTGCCTACCCTGCATCTATTTAATGCAACAATTTATATATTAAATTATGCTGACGAAATATTAGAATCACAAGCATAAAGGTAGAGAAAGTTTCTGTTTATAGCAATTAAAATTTAAAACTCTAATCTAGAATGTGGTGTAAAACCTTCATTCTAGGTAGTAAGACTAAAACTCTTGACTTTACCATCCATACTTGTCTTCTCATTAAAATATACATGTAGTTGTAAGGCTGGGGTTGAGGGGAAATGCTGCTGTACTGTACCTCTATAGAGCTCCGTAAAGTCAATAAAATGAAGAAGTAAAATGGCGTTCAAATGAAATATGAATTACTTGTAAATAGAGGCACCAGATTCTTAAGAGAACCCAGTCATTTTATCTCAAGTTGGAGAAGCAACTGTGGTCATTGCACATCACCAGTAGGTAATTTCCTACTTCAAGAAAGTCCAAGCATTGCTTCAACCAGCCTGAAGTATCACTCATGCCTGAGTTGGTTCTAGCAGGGGAGATAGGCAATCATGTCCTTTAATGAAATATCCAGCTCTTAGATGCATCCAAAATTACAGATACCATCAGATGTGTTCAACTGCATCCAGAATTCTTGCTGCTGGCTCTTCAGTGTGTTGAGAATCTGTTTACATCTACCCTGTACAATGGGCTCCTACTGAATATATCCAGTTGCCACATTTTCTCACCATCGAGTGTGTGACACCACTGTGCACTGTATGAGTCCTGCCTCCACCACCCAATGTGTCCACTGATCGCCTTCACCATGTAAGCTCAGTGTCTTGAGAGTGCCATCATCCAGCTTGTACATCGTTCAGAGACAAATGCACAGAGTGAAATTAGATCCTGCGGCTATTAACTGGTGTGTCTTGTTTACTGAATAGGGGCACTGTTTTATAAATCACAAACCAGATATTCTTATCGGTCCTCAGGCTAAGAGATCCTGTACAATAAGATGATACAAACTCGGACCAGACCAGTGCTTTACAGACCACAGCTTAAAAAGAAGGAAAGAAGGGGTTGCATAAAGCCAACAGACAAAAAAAAAAAAAAAACTGTCTTACTAAATAGTTTATAGTATACAGTAAACTGGCATTTTATTATCTATTATCTTCTTTCGATTAAACTTTTTAAATTTTTTGAACAGTGTTGCTTTATCCTGCATTGTACTAACCAAAGCTATAGTCTGACATTCCCACAGCACATTTTAAAGGGATACTCCGTAAGAAATCCACTACATCTTAACATAGTGCTTTTATTATTATTATTATTATTGGTATTTATATGGCGCCAGCTTATTCCGCAGCGCTTTACAATTAGAGGGGAATATATGCATATATGCTATTAGATTTCACAGAAAAGAGAAACAGGCACCACTATCACTACAATGCTCATATAGTTACCAATGAAGAAAGTATATCCTTATGAAAAGAAGGAAAAAAATAAAACAAAAAAAATCATAGTGCAAACTTTACATTTTTTTCTTGTTGTATTAAAGCAAAATAAATCACACATTAAAAAGTGACACATTCTACTTAGATGTACAAAAGCGCCTAAAAGGAATCCCACCAACTGGATGAAAGGCAGTTCTTTCCAATGTAGCACACTCCAAGTGAAGTGAAGTTGTCACAGGGTCCCAACTTCAGAACTCATAAAAGGGCTATCACCAGACCAGTTTTGGGATTTGCTGCTCACCTCTGCGCGACATGTTTCATCTCAGAAGACTTCTTTAGAAAGAAGAGGTGAGCAGCAAATCCCGAAATATGTCTGGTGGTAGAAGACAAGTTCCAAGGTTGGGGCCCTGTGACAACATTTACTTTGGATTTTGCCCAGTCCTATCCCTTCTCCTGGCCAGCCATCCTAACTCATACTCCAAGAGATTGCGATGTTCAGTCTGAGTCTGGTCTGTGCATGGTCCTGACCACTAGAATGAATATAACAATCCCAGAGGTCAGCAAGCAGCAGACACCAGGCAGAACATAGGTGGCTTTTAACAGGTAGACTAGGCAGCCACATCAGGCATTTACCTGATGCCTATTCTGCCTAATAGGAAACCCATCCCTGCTTGTCTGACAATGTTAAATGTCATTGCTGTCAAAAACAAATCTCTAGTAACTATCAACCTGACAGCCACTAAAACCATTTCCTCCTTTAGATTTGAAGGAAGCATCAGACTGACAGGTTGTGGTGATTGCTGCGTATGCACCACGTCTGAAATGCTTCTCTGTGAGAAACTTTGGAATGGACAAAGATCATCAATGTTTAGGAAATCTAGGTAGGTGGATCAGGCTGCAGAAGGGAAACTGCCTCTGTGCTGGTTACAGGTAAATTTAATTGCTTTTCACAACTTGGTGCAGGATCAGGATAACTTGTCCCCAGCAAATCACCCACATAAAAGTATATGTATACAGAGTAAAAACGCCACTCAGTCACAGTCACTTCCAGGATTCGCCAGTCCCAATCACCTGATCTCTCAGGGTTTGCCTCTCTAGTGACGCCTTGCGTAACGTGTTTCGCTTGCCTTCTCTAGCTTCTTCCGACGATGTCATGGATCACTATTTTGCTGGGCTAATGTCTGTTGTCTTCATCATGCAAGGCGTCACTAGAGAGGCGGACCCTGAGAGATCATGTGATTCAGACTGGTGAAACCCGGAAGTGACTCAGTGGCGTTTTTACTCTGTACACATATAATTTTATGTGGGTGGATTTGCTGGCATACCCATCAATTGCAAAGTACAAGTTTTTAACCATTTTTAAAATAAAGTGTTTGTGATACTATTCAATTAGGGGTTTCTGCTTCTCTGTCTCACATTGCATACAACCATTCATCTGATGATATACTCATCTGGGGACAAATTATCCTGATCCTGTGAGCGTAGTGTGGGAAGCTTCCCTTTCAAGTGGGGCACTCCCAACCCAGAGCCAAGGGTGATAGGGCTCTGGTCCATGTGAGTTCTCTCCTATACCCCCATTGTGTTTTATGTACCAATTCATTTAGTCTGCACTATATTTGTATTTTATTACTCATTTCAGCTTTCTAATCAGTTTAAGCGTGCTATATTTGGTAACATCATATTTATTGTGGACTCTTTGTGTGTCACTGTGGTACAGCGCAGCTAAACTGAGTCTTACCACACAATCTCTATAATGCTTACACATGCTTGGTTTCCTTTAATAAAAACTTACTAGAGAAAGATGACAAAGTATACAAAATTTTAGACAAAGGATACATTTTACAAGAAAATTGTTTTAAATCTGGCAAATGCAATTAGCGTTTTGTACTTGGAAATGACATCATAGCCATCTTAAGTATTAATGACTCTCAGAAAATGTTAAAGTTAAAGTACAAGCACCATAACCACTACAGTGCATTAGGATGCCAATAATGCCTTGCTCCCCCCCCCCCCACCACCACCCCACCCCTCATTGTAAGCAGTCAAGTAATTTTGGAAATGTATAACTTTCTTACCAGGAGTGTGCTACTCTCCCCATATACTCCATGGAATCCAGGCAGAAAGTGGAATTTACGAGACAAAAGGGTAGTTCTTTGTTGAACTCATTTATATTTGCCCACCACACAGAATCCCTCGCAGTATTAACATCACTGTAAATGTGAGATTTGTGCGCAGATCTGTGTTTCAATGTATTCTACTTATTCTAGGAGGTTGTGGTAACACAACCTGCTCAAGAAAAGCTACATTATAGCTGTCAGAATAGCTGCTTCCAACAGGATATGCGCAGGGCCGGCGCTTTCATTAGGCCACCTAGGCGGTGGCCTTGGGCGCCAGTTCCCTGTGGATGCTTCTGGCAAACCTGTAGCTATAATTGTGTCTGAGTCTGTCCTGGCTCAGGCAGACGCAGTAACATAGAAACATGGAATGTGACGGCAGATAAGAACTATTCGGCCCATCTAATCTGCCCAATTTTCTAAATACTTTCATTAGTCCCTGGCCTTATATTATAGTTAGGATAGCCTTATGCCTATCCCACGCATGTTTAAACTCTCTTACTGTGTTAACCTCTACCACTTCAGGTGGAAGGCTATCCCATGCATCCACTACCCTCTCAGTAAATTAATACTTCCTGATATTTTTAAACCTTTGCCCCTCTAATTTAAGACTATGTCCTCTTGTTGTGGTAGTTTTTCTTCTTTTAAATATGGTCTCCTCCTTTACTGTGTTGATTCCCTTTATGTATTTAAATGTTTAAATATCCCCCCTGTCTCGTCTTTCCTCCAAGCTATACATGTTAAGATCCTTTAACCTTTCCTGGTAAGTTTTATCCCGCAATCCATGAACCAGTTTAGTAGCCCTTCTCTGAACCCTCTCTAAGGTATCAATATCCTTCTGAAGATACGGTCTCCAGTACTGTGTACAATACTCCAAGTGAGGTCTCACCAGTGTTCTGTACAATGGCATGAGCACTTCCCTCTTTCTACTGCTAATACCTCTCCCTATACAACCAATCATTCTGCTAGCATTTCCTGCTGCTCTATTACATTGTCTGCCTACCTTTAAGTCATCAGAAATAATCACCCCTAAATCCCTTTCCTCAGATGTTGAGGTTAGGACTCTATCAAATATTCTGTACTCTGCCCTTGGGTTTTTACGTCCAAGATGCATTATCTTGCACTTATCCACATTAAATGTCAGTTGCCACAATTCTGACCATTTTTCTAGTTTACCTAAATCATTTGTCATTTGGCTTAGCCCTCCTGGAACATCAACCCTGTTACATATCATAGTATCATCAGCAAAAAGACAGACCTTACCATCAAGACCTTCTGCAATATCACTAATAAAAATATTAAAGAGAATGGGTCCAAGTACAGATCCCTGAGGTACCCCACTGGTGACAAGCCCAAGCTTCGAATATACATTGTGCGAAGCTTGGGCATTGTGCGCGGGCGCAGTGTCTGTGCGCTCCCAGCCCCTACAGTGTGCATGGAGGCATGTCAGAGAAAGTAAGTGGGGCAGGGGGCCCTTCACAGAGTACGCGTTTTACTTGCACAGCAGGAAGTAGGGCTGATACAGGGATTAACAGGATGCGCTTGTATGCAAGTTCCTACCATCAAATCTGGCCCTCAATTCTGAATGTTCCTCCTTTGCTAGAGAGAAGGAAAAAATGGGGCAAAAACTAGAGGAGCTAAATTATGTATAAGCAATTTACATGATCCTTTATTAGCTAACTAGCTGAAATCCAGCCATTGCTAAGATCTTAAGTCTTAAAATCAGATAAAGCAGCACTTAAAAGGTCAATTAGCTTACATGCCTAATAACGTATTAAAAGTCAGCCATATGCTCTTTAGTAATAGGATCATCTTACTGCGTCAATTGGTCACTACAGTTAAAGCAAGCATCGTAAATAAATCAACAGGGAGCCAGGACGTGAAATGAGAAACTAGGCAATAAGCGCTATGTAACACACAAGTATATAAAGCGGCCTACTTTCAGCATTTTGACAGAAACGATAAGAAATACACATAAGCAAAGAATTGGACTGCACAAGATGCACAGCACACCCACTAAATTGAAGCATGTATTAAAGCCAAGAACTTCCCTCTTTCTAGTGTTAAGCCTAAAAAGGTGGCAACAATTTACTGTGAACCTATTTCTAATTGCACCTTGGTGGGGGGTAAGGGCGAGATCCAAACTAGCAAAATTCTCTCTGGATCAATGAGAATATGAAACAGTTACCTATAGATCTTACACAGTAGAATATAAAATCAATAGTATTATACTATTTGCTTCAACATTATTAATAAGATTTTTTTATTATTAATTTCCTATCATATTTTATTCAGAATTGTTTGCTAGCCAAAGCCAGGCGAAGTCTGTGAATTTTGTTAACTCTTGCAGTTCTATATGCACTGATGGAGAAAATTCCAAGCACACAAACGGAATTAGATGTGGGCGCACACAAGTCTAACAAAGCATTTTTTAACTCTGTAAACTCCAGGTGACGGATGGATGGATGGATGGTTGGTTGGATCAATCAAGTTCAGATTAATGAGAGCAAGTCAGGGAAAACTAATGTGTGAAAAGATTTTAAAAAGTGGTACAAGGTCTCAAAAAAATAAAAAAAATTATTTGTGGCATTTATATATAGTGCCATGTTATTTTACAGTGCTTACCGTTGTAAAAAGGGGGTGATTTAACAATAAATGAGACAATTACAAATGTTACAGGAACAGTAGTTTGATTAGGACCCTGCTCAAAAACAAGCTTACAGTCAGCACATATTCAGCTATACTAGAGATTGTGAGAATCTGCTCTGGTTTTAAAAGCTAAAGACCAATTTTTTTATTTTTATTTTAAACGTCAGAGCCAGTAGCCTACGTATAAGATAACTGAAACAAGATTTGTTAACGTGAGTAATTTGGATTGTGAAACACAGTCACAAAGGAACACATTCTTCTTTTGTAGAACAATCAGCTGCAGCTCAATACAAAGACTCATTCTCAGTGTCTTATTAGCTCTTAAAGGTGCATTGTACAAAACCATATTATATATATATATATATATATATATATATATATATATATATATATATATATATATATATATATATATATATATTAAATAGAGCACTCCTCAGGGATTTTATCAAGGTGTATTGAAGTAAACAATCAACGTTTCGACCCTCCGGGGTCTTTATCCCCAGGAGGGTCAAAACATTGATTGTTTACTTCAATACACCTTGATAAAATCCCTGAGGAGTGCTCTATTTATATATGCGCTGGAGGCACCCGGGTAATTTCTGTTTCAAAATTTTTTTTTTTTTGTAAATGTTGAGTGCCAGAGCTGTGACTAACACTATATATATATATATATATATATATATACACACACACACACACACACAAATATTCATATATATTCAGGGATTAAAATTTGTAATTCTATGCTACTAGCCTGGCCTCAAACATTACTTGACACTGTAATCCATAGTATATCCTGCAGAGGTGAATTTCTGCTTGCCAGAGCCAATGCCTAGTGGAAATTGAGCCCTGTATAAAATAATGTTAATGAAACAAATAACTATTATACAAATTACTATGAAAGAGGAAACATATGTGGTGCTATAAAAAAAAAGTAAAAAAAATAAAATAAAATTTTTTTTTTTGCAGAAGCCAAAAATAAAAGTAACTTATTCCCCAGGACATGTAACAGCAAAAAGATCAACGCATTGTGTACAGCTTGTTCTATATTGCACAGTAATGTTTTCAGTTTAATTCCAATGTTATTTATGAAGCATACATTTAACCCCTTAAGGACACATGACATGTGTGACATGTCATGATTTCCTTTTATTCCAGAGTTTTGGTCCTTAAAGGGATAATATTTTATGTTTCTGTTTCACGATTCAAAGTTAAAATTTGGGGGGGGGGGCGGAGCCTAGCTTCCTAGCAGAGTGGACGTGCTGCACGATAGCTCCTGCAAGCCAGCCACTAAAACGGGGGATATACCCCAAATCATCGCACGCACACCGCTGGGAAGGTGACTACAGAGTGGGGGAGACCCGGGAAAACGTTTTGATACCAAACTTGTACCCGCAACTCACCGGGTCACCACGATTCCAGTTTGAGGCCTAACTGCGATCGAGCCAGGGAAAGGCGGCCGCTCTCCTGGATGGTAACTTTGCAGATGGCAACCTCACCATACTCACCTCTAAACCCCCCCCCCCCCGAACCAGCGGGGGTTATCCTGGTCCTCGCTGGGTGCCACAGGCAGCCGGCCACAATTGCTTCCGTTCACCATAAGGTAGCAAGGTACACCCAAGATGGCGGAGGATGGCGGCCGGCACAAGCGAAAGCAGACCCTATGCACCAAGCATCCGCAACACAGCTTGCGGCGCCTGGATGCTCACTTCAGCCAGCACGGGGCCAAACAACGAACTAAACAGCAAGCAGCCCAGCCGCCAAGGTTAACGGTGCCAAAAGCGCAAGGAGACCGTGACAACGGCTTACCATGACCTGCTGGAAGGCACACGCGACTACCCCACAGAGGGAATTGGCTGACGACATCGCGGCATGGCAGGGCTTGAGGCCACCGCTGGAACTGTGATTCTAAGCGAGCAGACGGCCACACACTGAGCCTTCCAAACCAGAGTGAACTTATACCTTATACTGAAGCACATGCCTAATAGTTATACTCTGCATCTGTGTCTTGTACTTTCCTTTTCGAGCCATACCACGCATAGCTTCACTATATCTGCACCCAGCGATACCGTAACCTAGCTTTGAAATCACTAATTTGTCAAACCTACCTTATCATTATGCTGACACTGCCAGTTTCATAGCCTGTTGTAAAACATATACCCAAAGCCTGGCTAGTCAAACGTTTATCTGTTGCTCCACTCTATGCTTAACTCTCTTGTGGAATGTCTCTTCCTAAATGTGGCATAGAGGGATGTAACCGCTGTTTTCCTTATGTTCTCTATATTAAAAAATTGTGCATGTCAAATCTACAGTAAAGCTCATCCAGAGGACATCCTTTGGGGCACCTCAGGCCTGTATGTCATTCTATATTGGACAGCAAAAAAAAAAAGTTACAATTTCTAATGTGTTAACCGTGATACCTTTGCAATAAAAGGGACGGTTTCACTTTAATAAAGTACTCCGACAAAAATATTCAGTTAATTCCAAACTGGAAATCAAAGTTCAAAACTGGAGTGAATTATAGCATGGACCGCAGAATTGAGGCAAAGTTTCCGATTGGTTATTTTGCCATTTACAATTCAAAGGTTTAGTATGCAGCCCAAGTCTTGCTTGTCTTGCATGTGACCCACAAGTCTTCCTACACATTTCCTTTTGCACAGTTTGTTTCATTGAGAATTTTGTTTATAGCCTGCTAGAACCCGCCCGCAACAGCCTCCTGTGCTTTCACATTTGATTAAAAATTATTCAATTTTTTCATGCAGGTTGCTCGAGTCAAAGCCAGGGGAGGTGTGGCTAGGATGCATAAACAGTAAACAAAATAATTTCTCTCCTAAATGGGATAAACTTGAGCAGTGAGACGGCACAGGCATGAACTATACAGCAATACTGCTTTGTTAAGATAAAGTTGTTTTGGTGCCAAGAGTAGCCGTTTAAGCACGCAGTTGGTGTGTTTTCCACTATTCTGTTTCTTTACATCTGGAACGTGGACAACATACTCCATTTTTACCATGTTCTGTAATCGAATGCCCAGTTGTCATTAAAATATTCCATGTGTAGCAAGTAGACCTTTCCATTTTTTGTATACATCAAGTGACAGCTGCCTATTTATCACATCAGCAATAAGAATTTACATATCACCAAATAAATCTACATGCACAAAAGTATCCATTAACAAAAATATTTATTTTCAGATAATAAGAGTTGGCTAATTCAATGCATAGTCAAAAAATCACAACAAAAACCCACACATTTTATTTAAAAAAGAAAAAGCCCCACGTAACTTAGCGATATGCAGTGGTAACACGCATACATTCGGCAAATATTTTAGGTAGTCATTGTGCAGACACCAACGCCATGCTGTCCAACATTATAGCGGATTGCGAGTATTACTCATTACAATTAAAAATTCCCAATTCTTTATCCAACATAATCACGTTTCCAAAGGAAGCACAGCAAAACCAACAGCATTAATTATCCCCCTTGAAAACATCCAATTATGCTCATTTTGAATTGATAAAAACATAAATATGAACATTTCAGAATGATATCTAAACCAAAGTCACACAATGAGTAGCCTGGATGCTACTATAAAAAAAGACCACATTATGATCCAGTTTTTCAGTGTATCCTCCACTATATGGGAGCTGCTGAGCTGCGTTCCTTGGAGATGCGATTTAAGGGCTTTGCAAAGGCAGTTTGCTGTTTACTTTTTAAAGACACAGAAGTTTCGTAAGAGGGTGCCCTCTTAAGAGGCACTTTGAGATGGCACAGGAGGGTCCTGCTCCTCTGGTTCAGGAGGAGGAGGGGGAGGAGGATTCGGTGCAGCCTCCTCTTTTGTCTGAGCAGCCAGATATTCATGTATAGCCTTTTCTATCTGTGGACGGAATATATGATTTAGCTTAGGGTCTACAGCTTGTGAAATGATTCTATCAACGCCAGCTTCAAGCATGCCCGACTGAAAAACACTCTGCCTCAGTCCGTTACGCAGCTGATTTTTGTTCATGCCAGCACTCCACTCCTGTTTGTCCAGGTAAGTCGATACAAAGTTGTCCACTTTCTGTCGTAGATTTTGGTAAGCTGGCTTTGTATCCACATCGGCTAGACAATCTCTACGAAACCCATCAAACAACCCCCGGCTCTTCAGCTGCCCAACAATTAAAGCAATGAGCTGTGCGTCTCCAGGGGGGAGAGAAGCTGCATTAGAGACGCCACCTGCTGATGAGGAGGCATTTGTACCACTGCCACTCTCTGCCATGGTTTTTGTGCGCTTTGTATAGCTTCCAATACGTTAAACGCCAAATCTAACCTACAATACAAAGCAAGGAAATTATTTGAAACATAAATAGAAGGAAAAAAATAAATAAAATTCTTAAAGATGAACAACTTTAAAATATATTCACAAACCTCTCTGCAGTTTTCCAACACTTTTGCGCTGAATACCAATTTAAAATAAAAGGATTGCCTAAAAGAAAAAAAAAAAAAAGAAAGAAAAATGGTTTTGTTATTTTTTGGCAAAATTATTCCTAAAGAATTAGTACACTTACCACATTCTGGGTGACAGTGATGTTAAGTTCTAAAAAGTAGTGCAAACATGTAAGAGAGGCATGGTGACCAATGGACCATGCCTGCTGGTTCACCTGGTTTCCATGGTCACTGCCCACTTATAGTAATTTAGAACAGTTTTTAGAACACAACACTTTGATAAATCTTTTCCTCTACACCTATACATTTTTTCTATCATTGTCATAACTCGAGCTAAGCAGCTTAATACTCTACATTTATAACTATTAAATAAAAAAATAAAAAATAAAAACCTTCATATACTGCTTAATAAAACATTGGTTATCTCTTTTAAAATAAGCCACTCTCCAATCCAATTCTCAATGTGTACAATTATGCTAATAACTTGTGCATTAATAGACAACAGGTGAAAACAGATTTTACAAAGAGGAATTCAGCGCTTGCGTAATTACTGATGCAGTCCAATCGGCAGCTAAGCAACCATGTCCGGTTTCTCTTTTCTCCAGGTTAAGTAAAAGACAGATGAAACAATATAGTAGGTGGAACGCCTTAAATGTCCTTGGAGGTTTATATAATGACATGAAAAGAAAAAAAAAACGATAACGGATAGTGTGATATCCCTTATTTTATCAATATTACAAGAACTAATATGTGCAGAAGCTTAAATCCAGTTGCCACTTAAGCACTTGAGCAGCATGATCCAAGCATATGGATATAGCGTAGCTCTTATGTACCCAATAGTAATTCCTTGTTGGGCATCTCATATAGGTGGAAGAAGTACAAGATAAAAATAGTAATATATAGTGTAGAATTTACTATATAGGATTCCAGAAGTAGGCAAGTATATGGAATTACAAGCACGTTTTATGGAGCCTAGCAATGGCACTGAGGATGTAGTACTTTAGTACTTTATTATAAAACAAAAAAATATTTGTAATAAAGTAAAATCTAAGTGTACTGTTTTAGCCCACTTCATGGTTGTGAAACGTGTTAGTGTAATTTTGAGAGATATATATATATATATATATATATATATATATATATATATATATATATATATATATATATATATATATATTTTTTTTTTTTTATTGGTTTAATTAAGTACTTTTTTTTATCTTGGACCTTTGTACTGCTGCTTCCTGAGCCTTATATCCTTGGTGGGGATATAAACCAACCATGGGCTTAGGACTGAGTAATCTGGAATTGCTCCCTCTTCCACTTACAACCACAACAACTTTAGCTTAATCAGTTTTGGTCTATAGATCTGCACCTGCAGTCTAACTGCTCAATTCTCTGCCATTTAGGAGTTAAATCACTTTGCTTATGCACCTTAGTCACACCTCCCTGCATATGACTTGCACAGCCTTCCTAGACACTTCCTGTAAAGAGTCATCTAATATTTATCCTTCCTTTATTGCAAAATCTGTTTAATTTAGATCTTATCTCGGGCTCTGTCAATAGCTCGCTAGACCCTAAAGGAGCCTTCTGTATCTAATTAAAGTTAATTTTACACAGCAAGAGAAAAACTTTTAAACTTAGTTACATCTGACTGAAAGTGAAACCAGTTTTTTTATGTAGGGTGTGTCAGTCACAGTCAGGGCAGGTGTGGCTAGGGCTGCATAAAAAGAAACAAAAAAGTGAGGCAGTGGATTGAGCTGAGACTTCAGAGGCATCAGCAATACACTAAAACTGCTTCATTAGGCTAAAGTTATTTTGGTATAGTTCCTTTAAGCAATAACAACTAAACTGTAGGTGAAAGTTTAGGATCCAGTGATCATCAGTCAGTGTGGTTTAATATAAGAACAGTGACTGAGTCACACCACACAAAAACAAAAGTTTTAGACTTTAGAAAAACAGACTTTTCTAAAATTAGAATATGGGTAGAGGAGTCATTATCAGACTGGAGCAATTTAAATGGAGTCAAAGAGAAATGGGATTATTTAAAAGTTGCACTATTGAAGGCAACAGAAAATTGCATTAGGCTTGTCAGTAAAAGCAAAAAATTCAAGAAACCACTGTGGTACTCCGCAGATGTGGCCAAAATAGTTAAAAACAAAAAGTTAGCATTTAGGAATTATAAAAAAACCCAGAGTGAGGGAGACAAAATGATCTATAAGATTAGGCAGAAAGAGGCTAAGCAAGTTAGAGCTTCCAAATCACACACAGAAGAGAAAATAGCACAGTCAGTAAAAAAGGGGGATAAAACATTTTTTAGATACATAAATGAGAAAAGAAAAGTAAAACAAGGATTAGTTAGATTAAAAACAAAAGAAGGAAGGTATGTAGAAGAGGATAAAGGTCAGGCTGACTGCCTCAATGAATATTTTTGTTCTGTATTTACAGTAGAAAATGAAGGAAAGGGACCTCAGTTGAGAAAAAGGATAAATGAGTCATTTATTACACGTGAGTTTACAGAGGAAGAGGTTCTATTTCAACTGTCAAAAGTAAAGACAAATAAGTCAATGGGACCTGATGGAATACACCCAAAGCTATTAAAAGAGCTTAGTGGTGTACTAGCAAAACCATTAACAGATTTATTTAACCAATCATTGTTAACAGGAGTAGTCCCAGAAGATTGGAAGTTAGCGAATGTTGTGCCCATTTACAAGAAAGGTAATAGGGAGGAGTCGGGCAACTATAGGCCAGTAAGCCTTACTTCAGTAGTGGGGAAAGTGATGGAAACCATGTTAAAGGATAGGATTGATGAACATCTAAAAACACATGGATTTCAAGATCAGAGACAACATGGGTTTACTTCAGGGAGATCATGCCAAACTAATCTTATTGATTTTTTTGATTGGGTAACTAAAATTATAGATCAGGGTGGTGCAGTAGACATTGCTTACCTAGATTTCAGTAAGGCTTTTGACACTGTTGCACATAGAAGGCTTATCAATAAACTGCAATCTTTAAGTTTGGATTCCAATATTGTTGAATGGGTAAGGCAGTGGCTGAGTGACAGGCAACAGAGGGTTGTAGTTAATGGAATATATTCGAAGCTTGGACTTGTCACCAGTGGGGTACCTCAGGGATCTGTACTTGGACCCATTCTCTTTAATATTTTTATTAGTGATATTGCAGAAGGTCTTGATGGTAAGGTATGTCTTTTTGCTGATGATACTAAGATATGTAACAGGGTTGATGTTCCAGGAGGGATAAGCCAAATGACAAATGATTTAGGTAAACTAGAAAAATGGTCAGAATTGTGGCAACTGACATTTAATGTGGATAAGTGCAAGATAATGCATCTTGGACGTAAAAACCCAAGGGCAGAGTACAGAATATTTGATAGAGTCCTAACCTCAACATATGAGGAAAGGGATTTAGGGGTGATTATTTCTGATGACTTAAAGGTAGGCAGACAATGTAATAGAGCAGCAGGAAATGCTAGCAGAATGCTTGGTTGTATAGGGAGAGGTATTAGCAGTAGAAAGAGGGAAGTGCTCATGCCATTATACAGAACACTGGTGAGACCTCACTTGGAGTATTGTACACAGTACTGGAGACCGTATCTTCAGAAGGATATTGATACCTTAGAGAGGGTTCAGAGAAGGGCTACTAAACTGGTTCATGGATTGCGGGATAAAACTTACCAGGAAAGGTTAAAGGATCTTAACATGTATAGCTTGGAGGAAAGACGAGACAGGGGGGATATGATAGAAACATTTAAATATATAAAGGGAATCAACACAGTAAAGGAGGAGACTATATTTAAAAGAAGAAAAACTACCACAACAAGAGGACATAGTCTTAAATTAGAGGGACAAAGGTTTAAAAATAATATCAGGAAGTATTACTTTACTGAGAGGGTAGTGGATGCATGGAATAGCCTTCCAGCTGAAGTGGTAGAGGTTAACACAGTAAAGGAGTTTAAGCATGCGTGGGATAGGCATAAGGCTATCCTAACTATAAGATAAGACTAGGGACTAATGAAAGTATTTAGAAAATTGGGCAGACTAGATGGGCCGAATGGTTCTTATCTGCCGTCACATTCTATGTTTCTATGTTTCTATCAATTATTACTATTAGAGTGCGGTATTCATCATATAGTTTTTAGGATTGTTATTTGGAGGTTGTCTTTGGGGTTAACCTCGAATACCGGCACCTAGATGTAATAGAGTGCCAGCACACGTAATTTTTTTTTTTTTTTAAGTTATTTTGGTATAGTTCCTTTAAGCAATTTTTAATTTATTATTATTTTATTTTTTTACACTTTTACATCACAAGGTGCACTATATATATATATATATATATATATATTCATTCCTCTTCACTTTTATATCTGTACAGAGAGAATCTGCACCACCGACATATCTCAGATGGGGGTTATACCACTTAGCACTTCATCCTAGGAGCCATTGCTAGGCTCCATAACACGTGAGTTTAAAAAAAAAAAAAAAATTAATTACCTTCTTCTGGAATTCTAAATAGTGATTACTACACTATATTACTATTTTTATCTTGTTCTACTTATATGATATAATTTACCCGACAAGTTGTTACTACTGGATACAGAAGAACCAAGTTATATCCATAGGTGGGAGTCATATCATGCTTAAGTGGGAGCTGGATTTAAGCACCTGAAATGTGTAAGTGCACATCTTATCCCTTATTTTATCATCTCAAGGTGACTACTACACTATTCGTTTTCATTTTTCTGTTTTCTTGTCGGTACATAAATCTCCAAGGCCCTCCACCTACCATTTTGTTTCAACAGGTAAAAACAGCCTGCACCGTCTGTTTTTAAAAAGGGTCATTCTAGGCACCGCCACAGCTTTAATGTATTTGATAGGTTTTAGACCCTTAAAATGTTTTTTTTTTGCATGCATTCAACTTTGTAGTTTTTGCACATTAAATGTTTTTCAGAATGTTGCACCATTGGAAAGCATCCTTCACCATTCTAGAGACTTATCAGTGTACATTCACAGCTCAGTGAGCTGAACTCCAGGAAGACAAGCAGCTTCCCTTAGGAGAGGATGCTCTTATAATATTCGACCATCACTCAGCGTAAACCTTCCAGTAGCCAGAGAAACCTCATATTCTAGTCCAGGTCACACATTTTGTCGATAAAATTTTTTTTTGACTGAGACATATGGCATTACCTTTGCCGTTTATACTCCAATAGTAGAATTGGCACTGGCAAAAGCAGGACTACTATGTAATTTAGCCACTGTGGCCAGTTCGATGGAGTCTGATTAATATTCTGTACCTGTTCCAACCAGTATGAAAATTTGAGTCCCAACCCCGGGGTTAAGAAACACAGACTCTATACCTTGCACATATCGACTGCTCTAAAAACAGAGAGTTTAGTCTGCAGTCATCAGTTACCATCACAACATGGCCATTCAGAGGCCCAAAGAAAGAGTGCAGAAAGACTGGGATGTAGGTTTAGTTCATAATCAGGGAATCATTTACTATATCATTCTATAGCCCACAATACTAGCACCACAAAAGCAGTCTTTTAGAATGCCAATAAGCAAAGAGAATTCCTGAATCAGACTCTAGGCAGTGATTTTTTGATTAAAAAAAAAAGCACACTGCAAATTCGTAGCAATAAAAAGGAACAAACATTTATTCCTAACTTTATAGTGTCCTAACTACTTATACTGTGTTCATCCCGCTCCCCCCACCCTCATGCTTTCCCCATAAGGGTTAAAGTAAGCAATGTATTTATCCAATATCCTGCAGAACGCTCATGTGACTCTGCATCAATTGCTAAGATCACCAATTGTGATGAATTTAGTTAATCCAATGCTTCTCATGCGGAAGCATTAAGAAGCTAGTGCGGCAGACAGCGCAAAATCATGGTCCAGCTGCAGTATTTGTTTAAGAACCGAGCTTGACTCAACATGAAAGTGCCTCTAGTGGCTGTCAAAAACACCGTCAGTAGAGGTGTGTGAATCCTGCAATCATAACATTGCCATGTATACTAAACAGCAATGTTTAATCAATTAATGGGCTACTGCACCCAGACCACTTCACTCATTTAGTGGTCCTTTAAAGAGCACCTATCATAGTACACACAACCAAAAATATAATAACTTTGGGAAAAAAACTGTATATTAAAATAAAAAATTTCTAGCAAAAGTATTGATTTTTCAAAAAATGCCATTTGAAGATATGATCCTCTCTGGTCACCTGCAATTTTTTTTTCCGTATTAGAGGTCTATGTCAAGAACAGAGTGCCAAGAAAAAGAAGACTTGTATAAGTGGTTCTAGAAACTTAGGATGTCAGTGCCGTTGGGGTAAATGTGCCCTGCTTAGTTAAGTGATCCAAAAGAGGGACAGGTGAATATATGCATTAACATCCATAATAAACAATAGGATAATATAGGATAGCAGTATTACACTCACAGGCAGTGTATGAATGATGCCCAGTTAGCAGTGGATAGGAGGCAACTAGTTGCTTAATAATTAAAATACCAGTTAACTATATAACTCAGATCAACAATACATACACTATATGGATAAAAGTATTGGGGGACACCTCTTAATGATTGATTTTAGGCATTTCAATCAGACCCATGGTTACAGGTGTATAAAATATAGCATCTAGCCATACAGTCTGCATTTACAAACATTTGTTTAAAAAAAAAAAAAAAAAAAAAAGTGGTCACTCGTAAGAGCTGAGTGATTTTGAGTATGGTACTGTGAGAAGATGCCACCTTTGCAATAAGGCAGTTCGTGAAATTTCATCCCTGCTAGATATTCCATGGTCAATAGCAAGTAGTATTATTGGAAAGTAGAAGCTTTCAGAAGCAGCAGCAACTCAGCCATGAATCGTGAAAAAAAAAAAATCACAAAGTCACACAGCACGGTCACAAAGTGCTGAGTCTCATGGTGTGTGAAAGTCCAATGATCTGTTGATTCCATAGCTGAAGAGTTCTAAACTTCCACTGGCATTAAGATCAGCACTAAAACTGTGCAGCAGGAGTTTCATGGAATGGGATTCCATGGCCAAGCAGCTGCATGAAAGCACCACAACACCGACCACAACGCCAGGTGTCAAATTAAGCAAACCACCACTAGACTCTGGAGCAGTGGAGACATGTTCTGTGAAGTGACAAATCACACTTCGGTTTGGCAATCTGATGGGTGAATTTGGGGTTGGTGGATGCCAGGAGAACGCTACCTGCCTGAATGCATTGTGCCAACTGTAAAGTTTGGTGGAGGAGGGATAATGGTATGTGGCAGTTTTTCAGGGGTTGGGCTAGGTCCCTCACTTCCATTTAAGTGAAATCTTAATGCTTCAGTATTCCATGACATTTTGAAAAATGCTATACTTCCTTTCTTTGTGGGAACAGTTTGGGGAAGGCCCTTTTCTACTGCAGCATGACTGTGCTCCAATGCAGAAAGAAAGGTCCCTAAAGACATCGTTGGATGAGTTTGGTGTCGAAAAAGTTGAATGGTCCACACAGAGCCCTGACCTCAACCCCATCGAACAACTTTGGGATGAACTGGAACAGAGATTGTGAGCCAGGCTTTCTTATCCAACATCAGTGTCTGACCTCACAAATGCTCTACTGGATGAATGGACAAAAATTCCCAAAGAAAACACTCCACAATCTTTTGGAAAGCCTTCCCAAAAGAGTGGAAGCTGTTAAAGCTGCAAAGGGAGGACCAACTACATATTAAGATCTATGGATTTAGAATGCATGTCTGGTAGTGTAATGGTCAGGTGGCCCAATACTTTTGCCCATATAGTGTACAATATTTATGGAGCTGTGTACAGTAAAATAGAACTTGTCAAGAAAGGCTAACTTTAAACAGATCATAGAGGATTGTAGTGCACTGCCAATTGCCTTCAATGTATGAAGAGTTAAAAGTTCCTCAGCAGGAAATTTAACTCACTCTCCTGAGCCAACGTCAGCAAATTAGTTAATCCTAAATTACATGGCTTAGCTCAGGAGCAAACATGACACCCTGCTGAGGAACTTCCAGCTCTTGGGCACTCAGCAGACCACAAGTAGGAAGTCAAACCGTTCATGGGTTATGGTGCCTGGTGTGTTTATTTAAATATACATGTCCATCTAGAGTAGCCATGTGGGCTGATGCAAAATAAGTGCACAATATTCTTTTTTGTGACACATATACATTGCCATAAACAACAAACCAAAATGGTCTGAACTGGGCAAATTAAGGCAGCCAAATTTATTGTATTACTTGTAGATCAGGTCAAACATGGCATTAAAATGTTATGTTTATGCTTGTTTTTACCAATGGGAAGTTACCCTAACTCACACTAGCTATGATAAAGAACTTAAACAGGTGGATTAGTAAAGGAGTCTTACCTGTTCATCTTTGTGCACACTTATCTCAGTGAACAGACGGTCACACTTACATCTATCAACTTTAAAAAGAGAGAAATACTTGTTTTTTGGACTTGTGGTGGTAGAGCCAATGGACAGGACCAACCAGGAATATTTTAGAACACCTCAACATATACATGACTAAGGCATCACGTCCGAAACTTTGCATGCTATTTTGTGTTTGGATGCCTTATCCTAAATACATTTTAGATTGGATTAGCGTGTACTGTTGGGCCTGTGGAATGCGTTGTTTAGGATGCATGTAAACAACAGGGGAGAGACAATAAGCTGTAGAGCACCCATAAGAGTAACTGGCATGGGATGACCACCAATAGAGAAGAGTGCCAATAACATCAACTTGAGTAAGAACATCAAAATTATAAAATATACAAATTTTAATAGCCAGCTTGAAGTGACCTACAGCATTATCAACATGACCAGTTCATCTAAACATTCTCAGATACTCAGAAATACCATTGAAATTGCTGGTACAGTTTTCCTCACCTGCAATATGAATGCTGGAATCAACAGAGGATGCTTAGCTCAATGTTCTTCCAAATGGAGCCCGTTGGAGAGCATGCTGTAATCTGGAAGAGAGTGGGGAGAGGTGACTTCACGGAACGTGGACGCACAGTCCTGGAGAAGTCTAGAGCTTGTCGGCTGCAATGGAAATTACTGGAGATCATAAAATACCAAAATAATGTATCGATTCAGGCAAAAAACAAACAATTGCCGGAAAAATAATTTTTACTTACAGCGAAGCATCAAGTAAGAATATAAAAATTAAAAAGGTTCTTATAGTGATGTTAAAGCAGCATAAAAATGGCTTGCTATTAGTTAATTTTGCGTATTGGATACGAGTTTAACGCCCCACCACCAGTACTCTTACAGTGCCGATGCAGCATATAGATTGTTTCTAAAAGTACTTTTTTTTTCCCACCCAAGGAAAGTACAAAGGGCATGCATCCGCGGATTAGTCTATGAGTACGAGCATCCACGAGTTCCTCAGACAACAAGCTGTATATGTCAGGCATATCTTACTGCTACTGTAACAAGACACTCTGTAAAGAGACCGTTACTTCCAACTAAGAATTCCAAATGAATTTGAGTCTCACTGTGAGTAGCAGTAAGAGTGTTCAATACAAAAAAAAAAAAAAAAACAACACTTTGGTTCCTATCTGCTAAGGGACAGGAATCAAAGTAATGGAAATTCCCTTAGAATCAAAATAGAATACCAAAGAGGACAAGAACATATAGCCTCTAAAGTAACTGGGAAATTCCTTTATTAAGTATAAGGGCTTGTTCGTAATGGTACATTCACTAAATGGCTAAAGCGAATAGGAAATAAAAGCTAGAGTAGAGAGAGAGAGATTTATACGCTGTTAAGCAGTGCCCTAAGAAAAAAGAAAAAAAAAATGTGGTTCTCACGAGGAATAGAAACATTGTAATAGAGGAATTGTTACATATAAGGCAGCTGCTGGATTGTTAGAACTGTTAAAGATTCACTATAGGGTCAGAAACACAAACATGTATTCCTGACCCTACAGTGTTAACACAACCATCTAGCCCCCCCTGGGTCCCTCATGCCTCCGTAAATATAGCAAGATCTTACTGTATTCAAGCCTGAAGCTGTAACTCGGCATGCCTCAGAAAAACAAGCAGTCTGCTGACATCATCAGAAGTGGTAGTCTGATCCAATCAAAGTGCTTCTCCATAGGATTGGCTGATGCTGACAAAGAGGCAGATCAGGGGCAGAGCCAGCACAATTCAAACACAGCCCTGGCCAATCAGCATCTCATCATAGAGATTAATTGAATCAGTGAATCTCTATGAGGAAAGTTCAGTGTCTGCATGCAGAGGGAGGAGACATTGAATGTTTGGATGCATTTTAGGCATCTATGACCCAGGAAGGATCTCTAACAGCTATCTGAGGAGTGGCCAGTGAAGTTATCACTAGGCTGTAATGTAAACACTGCATTATCTCTGAAAAAAGACAGTGTTTACAGCAAAAAGCCTGAAGGTAATGATTCTGCTCACCAGAACAAATTCAATAAGCTGTAGTTGGTGTCCCTTTAACATAAGTAGCTAACTGTAATTAAGCACAAAATTCAAACAGCCTGCAGTGACTGGCCGTATGAGGAGAGGGTATTGGAAAATAGATGCAATGATCACTTATTCCACTTAATCCAAGTAAATAAATCTTTGGTAGTGACACATCGAGTTAAACTAGAAAAAGGTATCTAAATTGGGTAAAGTGTCCCCAATATTACTAACCTCCTAGTTACTCTGGATCACAACAAATATTCCTTGTATTACCAGAAATCCACCCCATTTTGGATCAAAAAGGCTCCCTCCTCTAATCCTGCCTATCGCATAGGAGAGAATCAGAATCCTTAACCCACATGGACGACAGGAAAAATATTGCGCTTCCCTGATTCAAAACTAGAAAACTTAAATTCCCATAACAAGTGGTCCCCCAAATCTCTCTCTATTCTGTCTCTGATACTAGTTTGTATTTCCTATCCATATTAGCTATTGTATTAGCCATTTAGTTAATGTACCACTATGAACAAGCCCTTATACTTAATAAAGGAATTTCCCAGTTACTTTAGAGGGTATACGGGGATTTTAAAGAACAATAAAACTATAAAAATGTTATAATGTTCTACTCACTCTCTGGGTGTCAATCCCATGAAAGTATTGGGAGGATAGTGCACATGTGCAGCAAAACACACCGCTGCGATCATGAGACCTTCTGATTAAAATAGATTTTTACTTTACTATTTCTGCAGAATCGCCTATAACGGCTGTCAGTAAGAGCCACTAGAGGCATTTAAACCTTGCAATGTAAAGATTGCTGTTCCTGCAGAATATCGATGTTTTCACTTGCATGGCTAAAATGGGCCGTACATGGCACCCAGACCACTTCATATGGTGTCCCTTTAAAGAGAGTTATGCAGTATTGTACCCAGATTAAGCCACCTCAACAATACAGATTTATTATATGACCAGACAAATCCTGATGGAATGGTGAGGCTTTTAAAAAAAAAAAAAAAATAACACTCTAAACAAATCAGTCACGTAGACACCATACCAATATCATGGTTAGAATGCCATTAGTCTGTGGGCACCATTTCCCAATTTGTAGTCAAATCGTTCTTAGGTCAAGTGAGTCATTAGACCAAGAATGAGTCACTTGGCCCAGCTCCCTGCTCAGTTACTACTAATACATACAATCCAGGAGACCATGGTGTTGATTAGTTGCTCGAAGACAGAACCAAGGCATGGATTATGCAGCCTAATTGCACCATAAACACTATATAGCATGTAACCGTTAAGGTGCTTACACTGCACTTTTAAAAACAGCATATGGAGCTTTTATTTTCTATCTCGTGAGATCTGTTTACCATTTATTCCTTATACAAAAAACCCATAACACACCAGTTCATGCAAAAATGTTGAATTTATTTATTGTACAAAACTCCAACATGTATCAGAAATCAAGTGTATTATATTATAAATTAATACAACAATAGTACATGTAAATAAAATGCATACACATTTACCCAGTAGTGCCATAACAAGTTTACTGGCCCAGGGCTGGAGACCAAGTAACCCCTGTTTCGGCTAGTGCCTTCCTCAAGGGGGCTTAATTACCTGTACAGTTGAGCGTTTGCTATACATTGTTTTTGTGTGCAATTTATTCCTTATCACTGCTGAGCAGAACATAATTTAAGGAATGTTTGACAAAGACATTGAGTTGTAGCGCAGGTTAAAAGCACTAGGATACAATAAAAAAATAAAAAAAATTAAAAAAACAAAAAACAAGTTTTTAACTTAGAAAGAAAGAAGTAAACCTACTTTACATAATCCAAAATCGGATTCTCCGAGGTCACTCTGTGGAGAATAACCCCAGCTTAAATCTGATAACTGCAATAAACCTATTGCACACCGGGAGAGCAGACGCTGCCATCCATGGCCTACTCACTGCTTCGAGCCTGGATTCATGCGGGTGTTGAATGAAACCTGGCAACATGAAGGTACGCTCTCACGGGACACCCAGGTGGGAGACTGACACCACACGAGGGATGCCCCCGCACTCCCTTGGCCGGCTGGGGTTATCCCGGCCACATGGTGATGGGAGTTCCCACGTTAGTCCTACGCTGACCACCTGCACTGGCAAAGGCTGCCTGATGAACAGCCCACTAGGAGACTAGAACAGACAGACATCGATACTGGCACGGAGGGGAATATTCACTTCCATAGAGAAGCACTCATATGCTGCTCCTAGGACCCGGGCGGCTGCTGTCCTGCAGATGGATCCCCCGAGAGAAGTAAAGGGGGGCCCAGAGGAGATTGTCCCCAGCGCAGTGAGCCCTGTAGGACAGGAAGACACAGACCTTTCCGGTGAAGCGGTGGCAGTGAAGGAAGTGCCCCAGTCCCAAGTATTTGGCCGGCACTGGGTGAGGCATACGGGTCCAAGCACTTCACAGAAGCCTAGGTGGTGTAAGGGAGGTGCACGAGACGGTCAGTGCATGGACTCTTGGTGGGGGGCTGATATATTGTTCTTTTATGCTTACTCGCTACTGATATGTGATATTGCTTTTTACGGTCTCATTTAGCCTCTGCATAGGCTCATGTACAACCGTTTTATTATATCGCTGTTTGACTGCCTTAACCATCACTAAAAATAAAAAAAGACCATTTAAAAAAAAAAGGTAAAAGTAGTAACAGCCCAACAGAGAGAAAGAAAAAGGGAAGAAAAATTAGATATAAATTTGGAATGAATAGATTGCATTTTACCCACACGAGTCAATTCCACAAATAGCTCATCAGACTACACTCACATAATTAAGACGACAAATTATTACAGTTCATAATTTGGGATTTGAAAAATTATATATATTATATATATATATATACACACACACACACACACACACACACACACACATAACTCTGCGTTAGGCTCAAAGAAAACAACTCCATTAAAAAGGCACAGTTAAAATAACCATAACCACTACAGCATGCTGGCAGCCCCCACTGCAGCTTTTAGCTTAGGAAACTTCTGGCTCTCCATAGTAAGTAATGAAGATTGGGAGTGGCACCCAAAAGACACCAGCTAAGAAACCAAACCTTAGTAAAAAAAGGTTGGACTATTGATGCGGTCGTAGTAATGTTGATTGTAGTGTCTAAGGGAAAGAAATTATAAATATAGGATGACCAAATTCTGTATATTTAAGTAAAGCCTGGCTCTCTGGCAAGGTTAGTTGCTGTAAGACACCCGGAAGTGGGGAATTTGCTCAAAATATGAAATTGTTAGATATAGTGTCACTGTATTTTGCTGTAATTTTATCTTTATTCTTTAATAGGTTTACTCAAAGAGTGTCTTAATATGGGCATTTAACTGGCGCTCTAAGCACCATTATCCAATTGCAGTGGTTATGGTGTCAGCATGCCCCTGGTGCCATACGTCAGTTTTGTGTCAATATGAGTGGTTTGAGACAGATAGGCCTCTGGGTGCCTGTGGCTTGGCCTCTTGCTATAGTGGGAGTATAACTGTAATGTTATAAACAAAATCATATCATTGCTCTCCCAATGCCAAGGTAGCAGAATTCACACTTTGCAAACTTGGCTGCTACACCAACTGTAATGCTCAGCTGGCATGTTTCATTGTTCCGGATTTATAAAAAAAAAAAAAAAAAAAAAAACACACACACAATATTGTATAAGTATTCTTAACTAAGTATCTTGGTTTAGATTGTTTGCAATGTATATTGTAAGTTTAATGAATGGTCATTTACAACGGTTTGTGAGAGATTTTAGATGCTGTGAAGAAAATAAACTGAGTTCGGTATTTTCTTCTATGTTTGAACTTTTCTGCAGTATTTTGTTCATGTTGGATCTACAGGTTCGGTAGTTTAAAACTACCGAACACCGACCACCCTCCTGGCTCATTAACTTCAAAAGAACCGTCTATTAAGCACTCTCTGGGCGGCCGCTGTTCGTATAGCCGAATGCCACGCGGAACAGAAAACGGCGGCCATCTTGTTTGAACGAAAGGAGGCAGCAGGACTTGGTCGTCGAGTGTCTGGAGCTAAAATATATATCATACTATGCATAGAAAATAGTAATAAGTACAAATAGGCTGGACGTGCCTCTAGAATTCCCCTTAGTTCTGTGCTCTTTCTACCTGCTAAGCCTGCCATTTTTGCCATTTCTGCTCTCTGGCAAGGTGCAGTGTGTATTGGGTTTGTGAAATTGTTGGTTTATTTTTTGTCTTGAAATCGCACCTTTCAAATGGTTGTCTGTTTACTCCCAACATGATGGCCTTCTTCACATTGGCATATGTTTAACCCCTTAAGGACCAAACTTCTGGAATAAAAGGGAATCATGACATGTCAGACATGTCATGTGTCCTTAAGGGGTTAAACTGTACTATTCAATGAACTCTCCTGAAAACTTATAGCTACTCCTATCCAGAGATTTTAGAGCATTTAGAAGTACATGCACAGTTGGTGTTATGAATTCCCACCACTACCTGCTTCAGTGGGTGAAACCGAACGCCTGCTTCCTTTAGTTGCCGAACAGCCAGGAGAGCGCCATTCGGTAGTTTGGTTCATATGAACAAGGGGAGCAATCGCTCCTATGAGCCAGGAGGATCCATTTGGGACTTTTATTCGTTTTAGGCCTTTTACTGAATTGACCGACCGCACACACTGAATTTGTGGAACGGTTTTGGGCAGGAGCCTCATGTGTGGTCGGTAACTTATGACTTCCATACTTTTTAAGAACCCCTGAACCGATCTGGGTGAAATTTGGATATGTTGGTCCCCCAGATCGGGGCTATCAGGGGATATGTAATTTGTGGGGATTCCTGCTGTGGAAAGGGGTGTTCTAAGTTTTGGGAAAATTGTGTGCCCTCTGCCTGGAGATAATTGGGTTATTCCTTAACTTATCTCAATATCTCCCAGGCAGAGAGAGGGCGGGGGTTACTGTAACTCTGTATTTTGATTGGTTATTGTCTTTGTTTACTGTGGGAGGTCCTTTTGCAGGGGGATTCTCATAAAATCCAGTGTGGCATCAATAAAATGTATTCATGTTACACCCTTCATGAAGTCTAGGCTCATGTTTGGGGAATATTCTACTTGCTGGGGAGAATCATCTTGGAAGCATCTACACTGTTCCTCTACCTCCTAACTGCAGTTATAATCACTTATGCTCAGCTATTGGGAAAGGAATAGAAGACCGCAGTACCATAACCACTGCAGGTCTTAACAGATGCAATTTTAAATGTTTAGGGCAGGAGTAGTCAGTCACTTTCTACCTACCGCCTACTAATGCATCTTTCTTGATGGAAAAATGTCCTAACCGCCAACCAGTTTTCGCACAATTGCAGAATATTTTTTAGAAAGGGTGTTTAAAATAAATAAATGTACGTACATTTATCTTTTTATTTCTACTTTATGCATGTTTATAATTTTAACTTTATAAAGTTTAATGAGAAAACAAAAAAAGTAAATTGAAATTACCTTTACTAGTGATTAATGAGATCCTTGAGGTTGTATTTGATATCTGGTTCGATTTTCGTAAGGAACTAGCGAAGGTCTCCTCTTTCGGTGATATTCAGACGATTTCTCTGTTTGCTCATAATATGATTTCTCATCCATGCATCAGCTCCCATCCTCTCCCTCCTATATTCCCCACCGCTCTTTCTATTTTTTTACCTTCATTATAGCAATGCCCAGCAGGAAGGCTGAGCTAGGTAGCCCATTTATTATTATTATTAGCCAACAACAATTCTCTCCTCTTCCTTTTTATATTTTTTGTTTTCCTTCTGTCTCCTATTCTACAAGTACTCTGCTCCTTCTTTCTCCTATTTTCCAAGTACTCCACTCCCTGCCATCGTGTATCCCCCACCTACTCCAACTCCTTCCCTTCCTCTACCCGTGTGTTACACTCGTTCACAAGCGCACACGTTCATATGTGCAATATGGGCGCACATGCGCCTTCAGGCACACTCGCTCGTGCATCTGCAACCTCGCACTTCCTGCTTACCACTGAGTGCGTGAGAGATGAATAGAGCGGTCATCTCTCTGGATGGAGGGAGGATTCTGCTACCGCCCACCTGGAATCCCAAAACGCCCACTAGTGGGCGGTAGGGACCAGGTTAAAGACCCATGGTTTAGGGGCATTATGTACGGAATAAATTGATAGATAGATAGAGATATATATATATATATATATATATATATATATATATATATATATATATATATATATATATATATATATATATATATATATATATATATATATATCATCCACCTTGTCCATCCTCCGAAGGGCCGGCCTAGAACCTGAGACTAGCCGAAGAAGTGTATATGTAATCTGTTTGAAACATATATTGTATTAGTATGCACTGAGGCTTTTTTTTTCTGTTCATAATAAAAGTGTTCCTTTATCAAGTTCTCCCTTTGTGTGGTATACAAATCAAGTTACTGAAGAGCCTTATATTGTAATATTAGGGATTCATATAGATTTTGCTAAATTGTGTTTTGTTGGCGGTAACCCAATACCCCCCTGTTTATGTTATCTTTGTGGTTGCAGGATGTTTTTATACTAGAATAGATGTGAAGGTGCTTTATCGTTATTGTAGTAGTAGTCAAGGCATACATTGTTAATAATTTCACCCACTGAAGCAAGTAGTGGTGGGGATTCATAACACCAACTGCATGTACTTCTAAATGCTCTAAAACCTCTGGATAGGAGTAGCTATAAGTTTTCAGGAGAGTTCATTGAATAGTACAGTTTAACCCCTTAAGGACACATGACATGTCTGACATGTCATGATTCCCTTTTATTCCAGAAGTTTGGTCCTTAAGGGGTTAAACATATGCCAATGTGAAGAAGGCCATCATGTTGGGAGTAAACAGACAACCATTTGAAAGGTGCGATTTCAAGACAAAAAATAAACAACAATTTCACAAACCCAATACACACTGCACCTTGCCAGAGAGCAGAAATGGCAAAAATGGCAGGCTTAGCAGGTAGAAAGAGCACAGAACTAAGGGGAATTCTAGAGGCACGTCCAGCCTATTTGTACTTATAACTATTTTCTATGCATAGTATGATATATGTCCAACTATGATCTATCCAGATATTTAGGCACATAACACCAATGACATTCTACACTGTCGTATCAATCCATTCTGTCGTAGAATCCAATTCCAAAGTGGAACGACAAACTCAATTAACGACTGCAGGGCAGAACGAATCTGCTTATGTTAAGAGAACACTCAGTGCTGCCTTAAAGTCTTTAGAAACTAGGATTGTGATAATGCCAAATTGACTCAATTTGTTCTTTTAAAAGGTGAAACTGACATATGGTAATGTAAAAGCACACCAATAAAATAAATAGATCCACAAGCATTTACTAGTCTATGGAAACAATAAAGAAATTAAAACAAACAAAACGGGCCATTTCATTAACATAAAAAGCTGGATTAGTAAAATTAAATACCACACCGCTGTTATGTAACTAAGCAGCCATATTACAATTCGCACAAAGATCTGTTAAGTTAGCGCTGAAAGATCTTGTGGCATTGTCCCCTTATGCACACTTCACAATGTCCTCCATGACAACATTATTCTAAAATTAGATAAAAACTGTAAACCAGTGGAAGAATAAATCAGGACTAGAAATAATGACACATCAAAATGTAAATTCAAACTGAATTACTTACAAACCAGAACAATTCGTTCAGGCCAACAGTTCTGCCGTCTCAGCTGTGCTCTAGCTGCACCTGTTACCAGATGTCACGGTCATTGTTCCTTCTGATCAAGAGTGAAACAAATAGCTTTCAAGACATTCACTTAATCCCATGGACAAGCCTTAATGCAGGAATCAGCACTGTGAGCACGTGATTCCAGCCTTTGTTAAGCACCAACAAAAGGACCTTCATTTGTTGCCTGCTCTTTGCTCAGAATCACACGATCACAGATTTCTATTACTTTGATAACATTGTGCTCAGTATCCAACAAGCTGAATACCTTAATCTCTCAGATACAGTGCTCTATTCTGTGCTTGGAACATAATTTTGCTGCATTTTAAATTGATAATTTGCACTTCCTAAAAATTTCAATTTCTTTCCAAAATTATGTATACGATCGTAGAGCTTTTAAGCTTGATGAGGGAATATTTTTTATTGTTTTTTTTTTTTTTGCCTCTGGCAAAATGTTTTACATCTAAAGTGAATATTCAATATAGCTGCTTACTATTGATTTCTAAAGAGGTAAATTATGTTTCTATTGCTTAAATATCAATACCCCTTTTTGCATTACAGAATTTCACTGGCCTTTGTAAGGGTGACTGACGCTGTACTGCGTCAACAACTGAGAATTTGATATCACTGAGAAAGTTTCAGCATTTTGGATCTGGACTGCCCCCATGGGCAGGATCAGTCTGATACGCACATGCTATAGCCTCTCTCTGTAATGAGCAAGTGAGCAAAAACGTTTGAGACCTGAGCAGGGACCAACCAAAGGCCAAGCTACTGAGGTTTCGCTGAGCTTTTGCCCATTCTCAGGATCCCTGTTTTGCCGCAATAACCAACACTGTATGTACGTTGTTGTACAGAGTTTTGACTAGAATTGTTCCCCGGTTATTCACATTTACGGTTATCCCCAATTCAGGCCTATATAGGATACAAGCTGCTTGCTGGTTCCTTGTACTAGAATGCACAACTTTTTACTTGTCGATATTGAATTTTGACACTCTACGCAGGTCCCTTTGTAGAGACGCAATATTATGCATAAAATGTAATGTTCTAGAGATTGATGGGATGGCCATTACAAAGGATACTACATGGTGGTATTGCCTCTCTTTACACGTAATAACAAATATGAGGAAGTTTGTATTCAGCTGCTGTTGCTTTATCTAATACAGTTTAAGCAAGGTTAACTTCCCATAATATAGTAAAGTGCTGTGGAATAGTTAGGTGCTATATAACTACCAATACTACTACAAGTAAGAGCTTCCATCAATAAGGAGCTTTTCATTTTTTTTTTAGATTGAATTTGATCATAGACATAGATTTATGGAATATTTAGTTCAATCCACTCATCACAGAAAACCGTTTAACACTTTTTCACATAATGATCCACAGTTCTATGAAATATAAAAATCACATTCAGTCCTAAACCAGAAAAAGAACTCCTGCACCAGGAAAATGACCACACTGGTTCAAAAACGGAACAATGCCCCCTGCCCAAGATAAGCAAGGAAAGAGGGAGGGGGGATTTGGACAGGCTATGTAGGGCTTCACTTAATAGCGGAGAGCAATCAGTGAATGCTCTCCTTCAATGAGCCGGCCCAGCACAGTAGTAGTACCTAGCTCAGTGGTGCTGACAGGAGCTGTAGGACCAGGAATGGTTCCTGATGGGACCCAGGTAAGATGTCAGGCTGTAGTGGTTATGTTGCTTGGAGTGCCTGTTATATAAATGTAAAAGACAAAAGGGAAAGAAATCCCAGGTGTACAACCTAAATGAAATGAGCAGCGCACACCTATAGTGCAAGATAAATCCTTTCAATGTGTTTTAAGGTAAACCGATCTATAGATTTAAAAAGAAAGCATGGTAATTTTGTATTGAGCAATTTATATTATGGTTAAACTTGTATATCATTTGTATAGAGTATATTTAGGATGCGGATCTCACACTTTTTTTTAATTTAAACACACACCAACTGTAATTCTTGTTATATAAATTTCACTGGAGTTGGAGTAGTAACTGTTCTGTATAGTTTATCCATCATACTACTAAACAGTGCAGAAAAAAAAGAAAAAGAAAAAAAAGCTCTAAACATAAAACAATTGATGTTGGGTATAGGTGTACACAAACATTACAATCAGATTTGGGCAACTTGACTACATGTGTCAAGTGAGAGCAAACAAAATACATCTTTGCCAAGCAACACCACAAAACAAAAAAATGTCTAGCACGAGGGAGAACTAAATTCTACACAGAAACTGGTACAACTTCCCACAATGATTTGTTACACATCAAAAATATAATAAAAAAAAGGGCCAAGTGCATGTGTTTAATCCAGCCCAATATTATCAAAATGTATTTCTAAATATTTGATAAAGTTTACAGAGAAATGTGTATGATACATATATTTTTGTTGAAACCTGCAAAACTTACCCCCTTGGATTTGCATACCTTTGTGTAATTTTGTCTTTTTTTTTTTTTTTTAAAACACTGGCATCAATAATCCATTTATGAAAAAGATTACACTGGTTAGTACCCATGAGTTGAGAGGACGTTGTGACAGGTTCAGCAAGTTGCTTGTTGGAAAGGAAAAAGAAAATACCCAAATACCGCCTGACCGATGGGCAGATTTCTAACGACATTGCTAGTTCCAGTTGGATATCAAGAGGCAGAAGCAACAGGTGGATGAACCATTCAAGGGGCACACTAAGCACCAAAACCACTATCACTTAATGTAGTAGTCCTGGTGCCTATATAGTGCCCAGTACTGTCACAAAAGTAAGTATTGCCGTTTTGAAGAAACGCAGTGTGCGTCTAGTGAGTGTCAGGCTGCTGCTAATGGCACTTCCTAGTTAAGACAGCATAACACATTTCGTCTTTACATTCTGTGATATGGCAATAAAGGCAAACCAATGTATTACTTCTCTATTATGAGAATCTTATTTATAGATGTGCAGTATGGCCCTCCGTGCTTCTCGACGAAGAAGCATTTCATTTGGCTGAGATCATCCATTTAGACTCAGCTGATGGAGGAGCGCTGGCCATAATGAGAAATTATGGCCAGTATACATATATGTACAGTGTTAGTGTTACTTTAATATTGTGATCTAAGGCCTCATATTACAAGAGTGACTCCTGGAAGCAAGCACGTAAAGAGCAAACTTGCGTCTCAATGGCTCTATAACTACATCATAGATTTAGAAAAATATGAACTACCGTATATACTCGTGTATAAGTCGATCTCATGTATAAGTCGAGTGCAGTTTTGTGACCAACAATTGTGAAATATGCTATGCCTCGTGGATAAGTCGAGGGTAAAACTTGGGGCTATGAAATTCTGTGATTTTTATAATTATATACACACACACACACACACACACACACACACACACACACACTCATACAAAACACACACTCTGCATTATATACACACACACTCATACAAACACACACTCTGCATTATATACACACACACTCATACAAACACACACTCTGCATTATATACACACACTCTGTGTATATAATACAGAGTGTGTATATAATGCAGAGTGTGTGTTTGTGTAGTGTGTGTGTGAACTGGGTGGGGGGAGGGCATTTTTATTATTTTAATTTTATTTTTTTTTGGGGCTATCTTAATCCCTGGTGGTCCAGTGGCATGGGCTGTGAAGTGGGGGGGGCGGCAGGAAGCATCTACTTACCTTATCTGCAGCTCCTATCAGCTCCCTTCTCCTCCGTTCCGGTCAGCTCCACTGTAAGTCTTGCGGTCTGGTTGCCGCGCGGATCGTTGCCATGGCTCTGACGGCCGGGCTCTCTAAGTTGCCATAATACAGACAGTGACTCTAGTATAAGTCGAGTGGGGGTTTTTAAGCACAAAAAATGTGCTGAAAAACTAGACTTATACTCGAGTATATACTACTAGTTATCCATCTACAAGCAATTCAGGAGTGTCTGAAATTCTGGACTTTTGTTGTGCAGTGTATTCTTGTGTACAAGTGTCAAAATCCAGATCTCAATAGTCAGACACACACCATGATTTTAGAATGCTTGACACATTGCTCAGTGAAACATGAGGTCTGTTTGACTTCACGTTAATTAGGAAAATTCACATTTCATACCCATGGTAACAGAGTCTGTAAATTGTGTTCACAAACTGAACAGCTAGAACCCGTTAACGACCAAATGCTAAACTCTGCTTTAATCGCATCTCTGTCCCAGCATACCCTATGCCAAAAAGGAATCTCCCACTTATTAGCAATTGGTTTGGTCATTCAAGAAAGGTAGTCCTAAAAAGGCTTAAATCAGGAAATATACATCAAACCCATGGCATTGGAGTCCTGGAGGAAGACATATCTTCAAAGTGACACTCAGAATCTACACAGCTTCTATCAAATCCAAAAAGTCGGAGCTCACCATGTCACCAAGATAGTGTTATATGCTTTAACCTGAGTCTAATCCAGCATTAGGGACAGATATTTGATATATATTTTTATTTTTTACATTTTACTAAGTCATACATATTGCTTCTGTCGATACTCCAAATTAATACCAATAGTAGGCATCAGAGCTGTTATCCATTAATCATGGTTTCATTCATTTAATTAGGAAACAGCACAGTAAAATGCAGCAACCCCCACTCTGTTCCTGTATGCCAAATGTATGTTTTTAGAATTGTTTGATATTTTCTATTGTACAGCAGTGCGGAATATGTTAGTGCTATATAAATAATTGTAGCAAATCCAAATTACATTTGCTTTAAGACTACCAAATTAAAGGTCAAATCTAGTCATTATGTAAAGAGCCAAGCTGTTTTAAAACAAGTAATAGGATTTACACATAAATTATTAGCTTTAAGATGAATACTCATGAAATGGTTATACTTACTTTGACATAAACATCATATTGAGAAATTATGCCTTATAATGCAAACTAAAGTAAAACAGCTTATAGAAATGGTCTAAATTCAAGTGTGAATTTAACTAAAGCATCTTTGCGCTTTTGTATTTGGGATTATTAGAACCAAACTGCCAGCATTTCCTGGACAAGGTTCCAAACAGTAAAGCAATCACCATGGAAACCAGCGGAATGTTCCTGCTTACTAATCCACATTTACAATGTTCTAGAATATTTATACAAACCTGCATTTTCTCGTGGTATATTGATATGAAAACAAAAACTCTTAAGGAGCTTTGGCATAAAAAGTGAAATGATTTCGTATTTCCATGGAGAACACCAATTTATTTTTTTTCCCCTTTAGCAGATTGGGTCATGTGAAATGTAACAAAAAGCTATCACATATTACAGCAAATTACTATTTTTGATTGCATGAATAATTTTGAATATTAAAAGCAACATTAACTCAATAAAAGGAAAACGGTTATTACAATGTGCTTTTAAGGCAAAGTACAAACATCAAATATTGAAAAAGTAAAATCTAATATTGGTACTGTGTCATTAAACACATATCCCACTATGTGCAACAGGTAAAGCAGGTTCTGATTAAATGAAGGTTATTGACTTACCTATAACCAAACACAACGTCCTAAACCCCCGACAATGTCAGCATACACCAGAATGGGTGTGTCGTGTGACATTCTGCTAACAGGTTCCTGAAGCTTGTTCTGTTACCCTTGGCGACAGGTCAGTCCCTTATTAGGGGAACTCAAACATCCTCTTACTTCAAAAGGGAAGGAGTCAGGTCTAAAACAAAAACTAGATGGTCAGGCAATGGGATAATCGACAATTCTTGGTTTTTAAATTACAGGTAATTTCATTGTTTACATTCTTAAATGCACTCCTTGTAATAATAATAATAATAATAATAATAATAATAATAATAAGTCTACTGGTGCATTCCCATGTGATATTTGTCAAACCATTTTGCAATGAGATGGAAAAAAAAAAATCCACACACCATGAGGCTCTCCTAGATAGTAAGTTGTTTTCCCAAGCATTATAACCCCTTCCCCCCGTGGAGCTGAAAGGGCTAAAAATCCTTCCTTTGCTGATGTCAGCCAGGGGACCTAACGCGCCACCCTCGCATTACGACTATCCCATAGTAAAGCTTTGTATAATGGGGTTTTGGGCGACGGTGGACGTCATCATGCAGCGTGTGAGGACATCCAGCGTCAACTAAGCAGCTTAAAGTCCCCTAATCACGTGAAAGTCCCTCTAGTGGGTATCTGGTAGACAACCACTAGAGGTGGAGTTAACCCTGCAAGGTAATTATTTCAGTTGACCAAAAACTGCAATAATTACAATTGCAGGGTTAAGGGGTCTGCACCCAGACCACTTCAGTGTTCTGGATGCCTATAGCTTCCCATTAAAATGAAAATTATGCACTACATAGCTGAATTTGGAATATGAGGGGGACCCAGTTATTTGGCAAACCATTTTAGCATGCGTCAAGGCACTCATAGCACCATAACCACTACAGGTGTATGCAGTGGTTATGGTGCAAGGAGTGATCCTGTAAAGGAACCCTCCAATCACCAAACCATTCCAACTTTTTGTAATGATGTTAATCAATGCTGTCCCTGCAAACTTTTATTTGCAATTAAACATCATTAAATAATTTCCATTGTTTTCTGCTTAAAGGGACACTCCAGTGCCAAACTACAAAATAAATTAAAATCACTGTTTAGCAGATAAAACCCATATGAAAACTTGCATTTGTTTAATTATACATTTTTTTTATTGAGGTTATATCTAAAAACAGCTTGCAGAAGCTGCCCATCTCCGGTCTAAAGCCTTTGCAAGCGCGCCCCTTCTATCCCAGCCCAGACTTTCTGTAACTGTCCAATCACAGACTTCCAATGCAGATCAATGCAAGACAGGTGCTCTGAGCAATTGCAGACTCTTGAGTTTAGCTCCACTTAGCTCCATAACCAAACCAGGGAGTAATATTACCTGTTGTCTGATTGGGAGGGGGGAGAAAGAGTGAAAACAGACTTTTCATACAAAGCTTAAAGGGACTCTCCAATGCCAGGAAAATAATCAGTTTCCTGGCATTGTAGGTCCCCTTTCCCTCCCACATCCAATCCCCGGGTGCTGAAGGGGTGAAAACCCCTTCAGTAACTTACCAGACGCAGCGACGATGTCCCTCGTCGCTGCTTCTTCCTCCGCCCAAGCTCCTCCACTTCATCACGCCCGCAGAGGAGACCTAATGAACATGCGTGACAATTAGGCCTCCCCATAGGAAAGCATTGAAAATGCTTTTCAACGCTTTTCTATGGGGATTTTAGAGATGCTGGAGGAACTCACATAGCGTGAGGACGTCCAGCGTCGTTATAGCACAGAAAATCTGTACTATAGTCCCGGAAGTGCCCTCTAGTGGCTGTCTAGTAGGCAGCCACTAAAGGAGGAGTTAACCCTGCAAGGTAATTATTGCAGTTTATAAAAACTGCAATAATTACACCAGCAGGGTTAAGGGTAGTGGGAGTTAGCACCCAGACCACTCCAATGGGCAGAAATGGTCTGGGTGCCTGGAGTGTACCTTTAAATGCTTTAGAGATCTGAATCACACACACTATTTGTTCACTGAGTGCAAGTCTGATCTATTACCATGCACTCATGTAACACTGTTTCCCTATAGACACATATATGGCAAGGGTTGAAGTCGGGACATCATAGATGAAAAAATTAACAAATCTGGTACATTTGCAGGGACAGCTTCCCATCACAAAAACCATAATAAGCCTATTTGTTATTGTGCTTTAAATATCCATTTAGATTAGGGTTTACCAATTTCATTTTCAACAGTTTTTTCCACTTTATTGAATAAGCAATTGCATAACAAAAAAAATACATTTGTCTTTTACAACCCCTAGTTTAACAAGTTTATATGCATGAAGCATTTCCCCAAACAAAAAAGGACAAGGGTTACATATACAACCTCTTTTCAACGCCTGGCATGAAGGTGCAAACACTGTGCGGCTTATAGAGCAGACACAAATATCTGTGGTGTACTTACTCCAACTGTAGCAACCTAAACCTTTTTTCTTCCAACCTACCTAAGCATTAACCCTTCACTAGCCATGGGTCTGGCATTTTAGATTTATTGATAGAATGTGGCACAATAATATCCTGCAACATTATGTCTGGGCCAAGCTTAGCACACTAAGGATTGTGGGGCCCAGCAACTAGCTTGTCAGGATTGTTGTGTTAGGCATGTGTCTACATAAGGTTAATGGATAAAGCTAAATATCTGGGAAGCTGACACCTTGCACCAGCTGAGAACTATACACAGGAACTGATGATGTAATTGATGGCTATATAAACAAGAGAGCCCCCCCCCCCCCTTATTGGATAATGACTGAGCAAGATACAGATTTAGCACAATGTATTACTATAAAGCGTCTTCCATGCAGACAGTAAGGCCTGCAACACATTGCACCTACTGTAGCTGAGACTACAAAGGAACATTCTGTGATCTCATTCCATACTGGATACTACTGAATAATAGAAGCAGAGCTGGCTGTGTCTATACATAATATCAATCTATATAGATCTATAGAGCTGTGTAGCCAAAACAGGAAGCGATTACCTGATTGCCAGCAATGTATCAAGCCTCCTTCTTTCTTCTCTGATATTGTACCCTGCCATGTGCAGGGAGGGGAGGGGCTGCTTGTAACCCCGCCCCCTTGCTATGCTCTTATTGGCAATCCAGAACTTGGACAAAGCAAAGCTTCCCTGCGAGCTCTCTGTGTGATACAATGTTGCAGCTAGCTATTCGACTTCAGGGAAAGGTGATTAGTGGCCCTTTAGTGAATGGATACATGTGGGTGAGGGGAACAATGAAAGGGAGCCTGTAGCTCAGTCTCGCAATTAAATTACTGTGTGAAATTAAATGTATCAATGTCTGGCAGGTAATGTATTTAGGGCTGGCAGATCCATCATGTTTCCTTGGATAGGTATTACTCTTTGTTTTCTGGCAGTATATAAGGATTTAGAAATATCTTTAGGGACTATTGGTCCTTTTATATTGTACTGTCTTTTTTTGTTCAGCGCTGCAGAATACGTTGGCGCTTTATAAATGCCAGTAATAAATAAATGTGACCACCATATTTTCCAGAAGACATTTTGCATATGTAAATTGCTGATCCTCAGTGAGTGTGTATCATTGTATTTGTATGGGTACTGTGTGTGTGTGCCAGTTAATTGAATGAGTATACATAAGGGTGTGTTTCTGTGAGTATGTTTGCATCTGGGCAATGAGTGATCACAGCTATGGCCACCTGGGAGCATGACCATAACCTCCAAGGAATCAATATCATAGTCCAAGACACTTTACACCTTGTCTTTTCCTGCAGAGGACACTATAGGGTCTTCATAGAGTTAAATCATTGCTTGCAAGGAGGAGCCGAAAGCATGGGCTGCAGGTGCAGCAATTGAGACCTAGTTAAGTTGTTCTATTGTTCTAAAACAGTATGACGAATTACACTGGGAGGACAGTCATGGTGTTTGGAATGTTCCTTTAAGAAATATCAACTTAGGGAGCACACCCTAATGAAATGTGTTGTGAACGCCTGTCAGGATTCCCCCATATTATGCTCTGCAGTACTTCCTTGTTTACCGATCAGGCCCCACCTATGCTTGTTATGTCATCCATTCCTGTGTTAAAAGGAAGCTGCTGATCTCAGGTGCTCAATCAATTTGCCAATTTGATTCTTACTACTTTGTTGCTAACAGCTGAGAGAGCAAAGTGGCTGGGGGTGAGACACAAAAAGGGTCTGGAGGGAGAAAGACACACAAAGAGGCTTGGGGGAGAAATAGAAACAAAGAGGGGCTGAGGGAGAAAGAGACCCACAAAGGTGCTGGGGGAGAAAGAGACCCACAAAGGTGCTGGGGGAGAAAGAGACCCACAAAGGTGCTGGGGGAGGAAGAGACACACATAGAGGCTGGAGAAGGAGAGAAAAAAGAGACACACAATGAGGCAGGTGGGAGAAAAGGACACAGATAGGGGCTGTGGGGGATGGAGAAAAAGACACAGGTGCTGGGGAAAGAATCAAAAAGAGGTACACAAGGGGGTTGGGGAGAAAGAGACACATAAAGGGAGACAACAAGGCACACAGAAAGACCGAGTGGAACAAAGAGATGCACTGAGTGGCAGGGGGGAGAGACAAAAAGGGGATGGGGGAGAAAGAGACACACAAAGGCATTGTACTGGTGGGGAAGAGGCACATAGAGGGTCTGGGGGAGAATGAGACACACAGCTGTTGGGAAGGAAGAGCAAGGGCTGGGAAAGGCAGAAATTAGACACCCAGGGGTTGGGGGAGAATGATCCACACAAAGAGACTTGGGAAGAAAGAGACACACAATCCTGGCAAATTATTGGGAGGGTTCAGGGGGGTGCAAGTAGCTGTACTTGTGTGGGGCGCAAAATAGTCTTGCACTGGTCCTGTATATATTGCAAAGGAATACTATATGTTTAGTTCTGTGGCTGCCAGCAAAGGACGAGGAACGGGGTTACATTTTTTCCCCCCCCTGAATTATGGTCAAATTTATGACAGTGAATGTACAGGGACTTCACTCTAACTTTAAGCAACAAATGTATGGTTCAAGAAACTCATTGGAAAGGAAAAGAGAAACAAAAATGGTGGACTAGTAAATTTAGACACGGATACTCAGCATCCTTGCCTGATAATAAAAAGAGAGGAGTAGCCATCATAATGTAACAAGTAAATGTTAAATATCAGAGTAAAGACACAGAGGGGCGTTATATAAATTTAGTGTGTTACATCAACAATCAACTATTTACTTTAGTAAATGTTTATCTACCAAATGTATATCTTCTCGATTAAGATTATAGAAGAAACTAAACAAGTTAGAACAGGTCAACCATTGATTGCAGGTGACCTAAATTGTGTTATGGATTATCACTTGGATAAAAAAAACAATACTTCTAAGGATGTAGATAAAAACGCTATTAAACAATCAAAAGAATGAAATAAATGTATTAATAAATGTATTAATGAAGCGAATCTAACTGACATTTGCAGAGTTTATCCAACTAATGAAAAAGATTACACACATTTTTCTAAAGTACATTTATCTTTTTCTTGAATTGATTTTTTTAGGGTGACGTAAAAAATTAATAACACTAAAAAGATATATATAAAAGACAATGTGTGGTCAGATCACAGTTTAATAATTTTGGCATTAAGTGATGTATTAAAATCAACATCTAGAAACACATGGTGTTTAGATGATTATATTCTTAAAAATATTTGCAACATTACAGCTTTATGGTGTGAGTGATTGGTTGCTCAGAGCAATAAAATCTTTATATACTGTTTCAACAGCTGGGGTGGTGGGTATGAACCTATGTTCAGTTTGTTTCGATTTAAAAAATGGAACTAGACAGGGCTGCCCACTATCCCGTATTTTGTACATCCTGTCAATATAAACACTTGCAAAATTTACAGAGAACAGAGAAATAAATGGGTATCCAATTCAAAAACCAACCATGAAAATTCTGCCTATATGCGGATAATGTTTTTTTTATTTTTTTTTGACTGATTCAAATAAATCACTGAAGTATTTGTTAGAAGAATTAGATAGATTTAGTTACATCTCTGGCTACAAACTAAATATGAATAAAACTGTCGCTCAACTTTTTAATTTAGACCAAAATGAACGGGAGCGCATTTGTAACAGTTATAGTTTAGATTTTTCAAAGAATACTTTCACTTATTTGGGTGTCATTATACCAACAGAAATAAAAAAAATAGTTAAATGTAACTTTCTGGATAATCTAAGATCCATGAACATATTATTAAAAGAGATATCATGGCATGGAAGAATAAATATCATAAAAGCGTATGTTTTACCTGTGGCAGAAATGCCTCTGCCACGTTTTCTTGGAAGGGCTGGCTTGCCAGCCTTCTACCAAAAGACTATGGGCCCTATAAAAACCATGTAAAAACACTTTGTTCATGCATTGGCTCTATTCTGTTCGGGAACCGAACAGGGGTGTGAACTAGAGACCACCCAGGAGCTTGTTAAGCCTAACTGACAGTTTGTAACACTTTCCATTGCAGTGTTCTAAGTGTTCGTCTGGGTGTCCGCATTTCGTATGAACGACCACGAGGTGGCGCCCATCTTGTTCCCACGAATGCAGGCAGCGGGGTTTGGGCATGAATCTCATGGAACTGAAATGGGACACAGAATCTTCCGAACACCGCTGGACTTCCAGAATCGCCTGCGTTCGGTTCTACACAACTTAGAAAGGCACTGTTCGGTGGAAACGTTCCCACGAACAAGGGGAACAGGTTACACAAGTAATTTAAGGATACCGTTTGGTGTTTTATGTACTTTTGTGCTCCCGAAAAGAGACCGACAGTTTTCCCTGATTCCCTGGAACTGTTTTGGGAATAAGACCATGTGCACGGTAGGTCAAATAATTGACCTTCATGAAAATCCTGAACCCCTGAACCGATTTGGGTGATTTTTGGATATGTTGGTCACCCTGATCGGGGCTATCAGGGGGTGTGACTTTGTGGGGTTTTCATGTGTTTTGGGGGTACTTTTGGGGTTTGTTAAATTGAATGTTTTTGTCTCTGAGAGATCATTTAATTATATGGTTCTTTGCTAAGTAATTATCTCTCAGGCACAGGGGAGGAGGGTGTAGCGGATGGCACTGTGGCTGTCCTTAAAAGACTATGAGAATCCTGCAATTCGTGTGTTAATTCTGTTTTGTAATTCCCTGTAACTAGCAGTCATATGTTTGTTCGGTAGTTTCCGTAAGTATTTCATACGAATGGAAACTACCGAACTAATAGACCTCCCCAGAGTGAAGTGTGTTCCCAGTTAAGTGTCGAACATGTGTTAACCGCAGACTAATGGGTGGTTTATTGCTGTATCTGGGTGGCCGCCATTCGACATACGAACACGTATGCACGAAAGACTCAGCGGTGTTCGTCGAGTGTCTGGAACTCAAATCGGTCACTCGATTACCCGAACACCGCTGACACCTCCAGAGCTCCATAACTCCCGAACGGGAAGACGAATCAGCCCCCCGTTCGGTGAGTTTGGAGTACTGAACAAGGGCATTTAGGCGAATGACAGTTTATTCATGGATGGCATGTATTTCAATGTATCTTACCTCCCGAACGGAGACCGACCGCAGGGCCAAAACGCATGGAACCCATTTCGGATACCACCTCGTGGGCGGTCGGTCAGATTTCACCCTCCACCTAACTCCCGAACCCCTGGTCCGATTTGGTTGAATTTTGGATATGTTAGTCACCCAGATCAGGGCTACCAGGGGGTACCCAAAGTATGGGTGTACCTGCTAATCTTGGGGTACATCCAGAACTTGAAAACTGTATCCTGTATAATGGGATTAGGTGTCATACTAAGGGGAGGAGAGGTGTGGGAGGTAACTGCTATTTAATTGGGTACTGTATTAATGAATGTGAATCCCTCCCTTGCATGGGAGAAATGCTTAAAAGGAGGTTGTGTGGAATAAACATCAGTTCTGCTCCTGATGCTGTGTGTCGTCCAGTCATTGGGATCTGTATGGGGATATTCGTGGATTACTTTGCTTATTGGAATTATTGCTTCTTGGGATTTTTCATCACTTGTTCCTGAGCCTCACTGGG